AACGGATCTTTAAACAGATTTTAAAAGCTGTTTAAGTTTAAAAGTTGAATTTCAAGCTACAAGAAAATCCTGTCCACCATGGATAACCAGAGATAACTTTGTATAATCTGTTATTTTCAAAGTAAAAAATAATAATGAGCCCCAGTTGTATAGTATATGATTCTTGCATCACCCCACTGGTTCCTGTTCACCCACTCAGTGAAGTCACCATTCACTCCAGACGTGACTCACCTTCCCAGGTAGCTGGACTCTGCAGGAGTGTCTGCCTCTAATCCATTTGTAACCCCTCGCGTCCTGCCGTTCACTCTTTCACTCAGGTCGTCCGAGTTCAACATCCCTCTGTGGGCTTGGGTTGCCGGCTCGTGCACCTCCTTCCCATCCCTCCTCACCCACTTGGAGGGCAGTTCCTCCGTGTTGCCGAAACGTTCAGCCAGTTCTCGCCTCCTCTCGGCCTTGTAGCGAGCGATCCGCTCTGACCTGGGCTCCAGGACCGGGTTCTCCATGGCGTCCATGTCCCTCAGAAGGATGTAGGAATGGAAAGCAGATGAGCTGTTCTTTCTTTCCAGTAAAATTCAGATTCCATCAGAGCTAAAGACTCCTGTCTTTGCTGTGCTCATAGAGTCCACCAATCAGAGGTTGCAAACCAATGTGTACATCAGTGAGTGAGACGTTTCTCCTGAAAGATGAAAAAGAAAACAAAAAAATAAGTTAAAAAATGTCCCTTCGTCACTGTCACAGCACACTCGCATCACATATCTGCACCTCAGCAGCCTGATGAGCTGCTGCTTTCATTATATATTAACCAAATTTTCTAAAAGTGCATCCTTCATTTAAGTCTCTCTCTTCTCTCTTGCTTGAGTCCATGTAAGATGACCTGTACCAGCCTGCAGTGCCATGCAGGAATCTCCCCTTGCACTGAAACTCAACACCTCCGCAGCTCAGCTCCTCTCTGGGTCCAGGCCTCCAGTCCTCTGAGTCTGCAGGCTTGCTGGTCTTTTCCACAACCCTGGAAGTAACTTAAGCTGAACAAGTCACTGTCACTCTCATTCAGATGTTATCTAATAAGCTGCATAACTAGTCTGACTGCCGTATGTCTATACAGAGCCTGTTATCTGTCAGGAACAGAGGTCAAATGGTTTCAAATTTGTTTAAACACACATGTAACTATCTGAATGATGACATGTACACAGGCAACATGCACGCATGGATGAGCCAAAAAAAAAAAAAAAAAAAAGTCCCTGTCGGTTACAGGGTTGCTTGGAAATGAATAAACAACACTAACAAAGCCCGAAGCTGTGAACCACATATAAATAGTACTGATGTGACACAATTTGCATTTAAAGACAGCAGCTAACCATCAGCTCGGTTGGCAAAGGCTTGAGGTGGGCTCACAAAATGTGTACAAACATAAATGTGTGTTCGCATATGTGTCTGTGTGCTTTCCAAAACTGTGGATGTCAGCATTCCTGATGCAGGAAGCACAATGGAGCCAGAACAAAGAGACGTGAGCCATGGACTTAGTGCACCAGATAGATCTGCTGCAGGGCTGAATGGTTGTGTAAAAGATGCAACTTTTATGTTTATTTTATCTGTTTCACTGCAACTGTTTGACAGAAAGTGAGAAAATAGATGTAGATTAAATTCAATACACAGTATGACCGTGGACGCCTTCTCCTACTAGTGGTTAGATCTGCCTTCGATCCGTCAGAAACACCCACATCATCCACATGTCCAGTCATACTGAATAAACTGAAGGCCACATTTGCAGACGCTGTCAGCAGGAAAGTGCAAATCCCACATGCCCATGCCACAGAGAGCTTTAATGAGCTGAACAGTAAGATGCACTGATCCCTATATGAGACAACAAGCTCGGTGCTGTGTTCTGTATATCAGGGTCGGCACTTCATAACACGTGTACATGTGCTTTGAAACACAAACAATCAGCCAAGCAGAGCAGGAGGACTCACCTCCCTGTCCAGGCCCTCAGAGAGCAACGCTCAAGCATCCCCAGTCTCACTGACGCCACGCTCCTTTATGTGTTTGCTGAACAGCAACACGAGTTCAAATTGACAGTATAGCCACACTTTGTGTAAAGAGCAAAAGTCATGTGACAAGCTGGAGGACTGTTGATTGGAGGCGTGAATGCCACCGAGGCTCAACGGGGATCATGGGCTTCTAATCCAGCGACACTGGTTGACACTAGCTGTGAAATAAAGCCTGTGGATGAACACACAGGAGCCATGCTCTGCCTCCTGTCAGAGAGCTGATCTGAAACAATTACAGCTGTAATATTCAAAGAAGGTGAAACAATATACTGACCCCAGGGGACATAAGTTCAACTCTTCCACCCATGGCTTCCTCACAGCACCCTCATCACGCCATTAGAACCCTGCTCTGGGTATTTCTCACAGGCTTATCAATGGTTTTTTGACTTCACACAAAGTGCCGACATGTTAGGTGTTACATAGACAAGAGGAACTCAATGTCCAGTAGCAGCACAGTAAACCAGATTAAAAAGATGGCCAAAAATAAGCCTCCGACCAATTACACCTGTCCTGACTGACTGCACTACCTGCACAGAAGGCCCCCGTGGAGAACCAGGATTCAAGGACAACTTCCCAGAGGCCTTTTCTACATACACACCACAGATGGCACGTAGCATAATGAATCATGATTATGGATGGGTTTACGTAGCCGTGCATCATCCAGGAGTAAGACGGCAATGTGTGAAACTGACATGAGAGATTCCAGTCAATGCTCTGCCTTGATCTCTACATTTAGAGGCATGTGGCAGGAGGGCAGAGAGGAAGAGCAGCTCTCTCCTCATGCAAGCTCCATAATCCACTCATCAGCTCCCAGGGGGATGTAGCACATTAACAGCTGATTGGTTTGATGGCAGCTTTTACATTATATATCTACTAAGTTAGGATTTACTTGTCCAACAAATATCCATCCAGGATCCAAAATAGCAATTAAAGGAAATTTCATAGCAGTTTGAATACAACATGGCACAGCTTTTTCAAGGTCCAGACACATTATTATTATTATTATTATTATTATTTACAGTAATTTATATTGACCGAAACAACTCAGCAGGTAAAAGTCAAAAAGAAATGTACAAGTTTTCAAAAATCCGAGGTAGTAAAATAAGGTTCTTGCAGATTAATTCATGCGTAAATAACATTCACCCAAAACCTTAATCTGCCAAATCGTTTCTGACTTTATATCTTTTTTAGAAAACACTAACTGAAACCTTTTACTCTCAACGTTCACCAAGTGACTGACCACCTCACCACTCCAGGTCCACTGCACAGCCTGAACTTCAGCAGCTCCGACAGACTCATGACATGTTCATAACTCGCTCCCGGCTGACACCTGCTTGAATTTGCAAGTGAAATTTCGTCATGAGAAACAATGAATGTAGAAAGAAGTCCCGCGTGTACTTACGTGCACTGCGTGCCGCGTGAACTGGGCGCGAACGGTGCCGCCGCTGCCCTTGCTCAGCCCGGCGGTCCCTCCCCACTGGCCCCCTCACCACGGCCTGTCGCTCCAAATGTAGTCACACTCGCAGCTGCGGAGGGCTCTCCGTATTAAGGGGGGAGAGTATAAATAGATGGACAAACGGGGACGCCCTGTCCACTTGTCAAGGAAGCAGCGGCAGCCGAGAGACTCTGCTCTCTCATGCAAGGGGTGAGGAAGAGTCACCCAGTCTGACAGAGGCTTTGTAGCATCATCGCATCAACAAGCAAGTGGCGGCAGTTTCTGCTCAAGTTTACATTTTGTTATTAAATGAAACCAAATGTGATCATGTGGGGACACATGCAGTTCACTCTCTGTATGAATTTTCATTTCTGATGTGAAGCACATTTTTCCTGTGTTTGCAGTGGAGGTATAATATATAATGGTAATAATGGCCAGGATTACCTGGGGATTGATGAGGAGCTAACAGCAACATTTTGTTTTTCAATGTTCATTTATAATCGATCAGTGCATTGATGAAGATGTTTTAACCCTACTATAAATTAAATGATGCACATAAACAGCAAACAACAAATAGATTAAAAGCCCACTAATAGTTCTCTCATCATTGTTTCTTTAAATAATGAATTAATTTTTAACATTTAAATTTTACTTTGTTATTCTATTTTATTCCATATTTCACATATCACTGGTTTAGTTTTTGTAATGGGGTGGAACTGACCCTTTCAGTGTGGAGGCCTCTAATTAAAACAGCTTCAACCATTGTTCATCCATTGTTTTACTATGTTGCTGTGTCTTTCAGTGAATTCTGTCAGGATCCTCTCCTGCTGTAGGAAATGTTTCAGCACTGCCCCCATCTGTTCAAACTGTGAAATTACAAGACCAATCATGTTAGATTGAAATGCAGAGATTGATCAGTGAGACAATTATTTATGGAAAAGCTTTCTTGAATGAACAGTGTAACTTGTGGGAAAAAAAATGTACAATGTGTCACTACAAACATAAATACAGGTGTAATCTATTCCAGTCATTACACCATAAATATCTTCACAAACATAACTAAAATAAAAAGGACTTCATTTCCTCCAATGTATACAAGTGTGGAACAAACTAACTCATCAACGTAAAGGTGCTCATAATAGTGTTGTCAGTTGTTTACAGAGAAACAAAATCCCTATTTTTATTAGTAACATTCAACAAGAACAAAGTAGCACTATCGTTATGGGAATAACCATCGTCCTCTCAAATTGCTTGTGGACAAATTTACAGTAACTCAGAAATAAAACCGTTACGCAGCAATATTCAAATTGTACAATTGTATCAAATTATATGTGTTGATATAAATGGCTGTTGTCATAAAAGTGTTTACTGGATATTTTTGTACCATAAGATTCATTCCCTACCGGTCAGGCATGTGTTTTTTTATTTCCTGTACTGAAGTTCAAAATGTCCTCATGATGCCAGTAGACAGCCCGTGCTCTGATGGATCTTAGGGCACAGGGACAGTCAGAGCAGGGAGTCTCCGAGTAGCAGGAGCTGAGGTTTTCTTCATTTCAACTCATCCTCCGACTGAAATCTTCAGTGCTTCATAAAGAAAGGATGAGCCAGGGCTTTGGCAGCGGAGATGCGGCTGCTTGGTCTGAATGCCAAACATTTCTGCAGGTAAGGAAACATTGCACCTTATAAACAGCTTGGAGAAAAGTAGAGTTTGTGGTCTCTGTGCTGCCACTATGAGCCTTTTTCTAAACTCATGTCAGTGAACTGAATAAACAGTTAATCATGAATGAAATAAGGCTCAAAACAAGTGACCAAACTGACGTCTTCAACCTGCAGCTATAAACACAACAAAAGCTTGTATTGACAGTGCTATGAATGCAGGAAAGCAAGCGACCCTTTAGATTCATGAAGCTGGAAGCAAATGTTTGTTATTTTTAGCCTCACTAGCAGCATCCAGGGACAGCAGCAGTGGTCAGTCCACACTGCAGTGCAGACTGAAATGTCTCAGCAACTGTTGGATGGATAACTATGAAATTTTGCGTTGACATACATGAATCCCAAAGGATGGCTCCCCCCTGACTTTGGCGATGCCCCGACTTTATCTCTAGCGCCACCATGAGTTGAACTTTTTTTTTTTTTTGTGGTCAAATAATTTTGTCGGCTGCTGGATGAGCTGACGTGAGATATTTACATCTCCCCTCAGGATGAACTGAAATAACTTAGCTGATCCTCTGACCTTTCATTTTCTGCCACCATCAGGTCGAAACTTCAGTTTCTCCTCTAGGCTATATTGGTTTACAACAAAATACCTGCAAAGTAATCAAATCTCTATCATCTGTGGCTGTACATAACATGCTAACACGCTAAACAACAATTCTGTTCCAAGAAGGTCAGCCTGTCTCTTTGAGTGTAACTCCAGGTGTGAAACAGAAACATTTGATGAAAACAGAAACAGGGATCTGCTCACAGCTAGTAGGTCATTCTCGTCCTGGCCCAGGTTGTGCAGCAGCTTGGTGCAGGAAACCTTCGGTCCCCAGCTGACTGAGTACGAGATTGGGCTGTCCTTGGGCCAGTCCTCCTCACTGGGCAAACCAAGAACCCTGACAAACGTGAAGCGAAAAATGTTAACCAGCGAAAACCAAAACATAAAAGCTACTCTTGACATTATACAGGTGAAATCAAATGCCAGAAAAATGGAACCTTTTAGGGTTTATTTATCTATTTAATCAATTAAAGGTAAAAAATGTCTTGCAGATCATCATGCACTACTGGTACTTCACTGAAGGCAGTGTCATAGCTCAGTTTCCATGGTTGTTGAATCCCTTTTTGAATTCAACAAGACAAAAGACTTAAGCACGGGTACAAACAGATAAAAAACACACTCACTCAAAGATTTTCTGCAGCTGCTGCACCTCTGTGTACGCCTGAAACAGCGGTCTGCGGGACACAACAAATGTGATACGACAACTTGATCTGTTTTTTGGCAGCTATACAGAATGTTTTACCTCTGACTTCAGAATTACACTCATATAGTATCTCCTCCAGCCAGAAACAGACTCAGCTCATCTTACCTCAGGAGGAAGAGCTCTGCAAAGATGCAGCCAGCGCTCCACATGTCCACTGAGGACATGTAAACAGAGTTCAGCAGCACCTCGGGAGCTCTGTACCACAGCGTCACCACCTGAACAGAAAGATATGAAGAGAAACTGAAGAAATCAAAACACACAGGCAGGGGTTAGAGGAAGTGATAAAAGAACATTTCTCTCCGCAGGCTAAGAAAACAGACACAGCACGGTGCTATATAAAGTTAAAACAGGCTCCAGAGAGAATTAATGCAGTAACACTAAACAGTCTGACGAACAGTTTACAAGTCTCTTTCATTCTGAACTGCTGCTTCACTTACACCTGGAGTGAGAGCGATATTAAAGGTGTAGATGCGTGCCAGCCCAAAGTCTGCGATCTTCACTTCTCCGCGGCTGCTGACCAGGACGTTCTCTGGTTTTAGGTCACGATGCAGCACCATGTTTGTGTGCAAGAAGTCCAATCCTTGCAGCAGCTGCTGCATCACATCCTGCACAGACAGAAAACAGCCCTGTTCTATCTAAAGAGCCGTGTCCAAACTCAGGGAGTGCCTCCTTTTAAGTCTGCACTACTGGCCTGAACAGGTTATGACTTATTGACCAGTTGAAAAACTGCAGAAAAATGCCAGAATTTGCTTTCTCTCTACCTCAAACTATGTGCTCATTTGTTTACTAGTGCATTAAAGGTGATGCTTGACTACAAGCTTCAAATGTCAACATGAGGTGGGACAATTAAATTCTCTTTTTTCTAGGGTTACATAAATTAATATGACTCTGCAAAAGCGTGTGTGTTTATTTCTGTCTTAAATACATGCAGCAACGCTTTGATAAGTCAGGTGATGCATTCACACCTTAATACTGTCACGGCTCAATCCAGAAGCAGGAACCTTGGAGAGGTATGTGGACAGGTCCTGGTCAATGTACTCTAACACCAGAGTGAGGTCCAGGCTCCTGCCCACTGGTACAACAGATGCATCCAACAGCCTGGATTTTTAATTAAAAAATACATTAAACAAAAGATGTGCAACTGTGTGTGTGTAAAGTAAAATAATGAAACACAAAAACCAAACAGAACACATACAGACTGCTGACGCCCCGACCGATCCCCCACCCACAAGAAGCCCAACTAGGATCTTATGAAACCTGGAGAATACAATACATTAAAGTAGAATACAAAAAAAAAGCTTAAGTGAGATAATTATAACAATTCTTCATCTTTAAGTAGAATAAGTCTAGAAAGTGTGTTAAGGCTTTAGTTGCTTTGGTTGTTGAATGTTGAACCAAGGATAATCTATCTTCTCTAAGATGATAAATGCTGACATATAATTCAAACGCAACGTACAAGGAGGAGCACAAAGTAAGTATGATAAAGACCAAACACCACATTACAAAAACAATTGTTTTCCAGCTTAGAGAAGGAATGTGTTTCATTTTAATTAATTTGCTTTGGTTTAAAAAGAGAATTTAAAGACACGCAGACAGACTGGACATTTTGCTTTCCCAATTATCTCTAAAGTTTAACATCCGTAGAATTCATCTTTTTAGATGTTTTCAGATTCATGATTTCATCAGAAACAATGTTTCACAAATTCCACAACTCGACATCTTTCTAGAAAAGAATGCTAACGGCAAGGGGGCTGTGTCTTCACTTTATGACTGTATTGCAAGACTTGCTCCTTCTCCTGTTAATGCTGCCGGGAAGGACTGGAAGGTCGACTTAGACCACAGGTTTGAAGATGAGTCCATTCATCCATTCTTCTTCCATCTGCACCCATCACAGTCTCATTCAGTTCAAATCAGAACAACACATATACTGTACTGAAGTCAGACCAGCAAAGATTAAACCAGATATGAACCCTACATGTGAAAGATGTAAGCAGGCACCAGCCTCACTGCTACATATGTTCTTGCTTTGCCCAAAACAAGATGTTGGAGTGGACGTTAATCTAATGAACAACATTGTTGAAAAGATATGGGATTTCAGTTAATGGTTTGGGAACCATTTATTTCCTACTCTTCTCTTAGTGCTGCTTGGGTCTCTCCCATTCTGCCACACCTGCCTATTAGCGTAATTATTATTATCAATCTTATTATTAATATTATTATCATCAATGTTATTATTGTTGTTGTTATTATTAGTGTTTAGTTGTTGTTGCTATTCCCTGATATTTTTATTACCTTATTATTAATAAAAAATAAAAATAAAAAATGGTCTAATGAAAACAAAAAAGTTGATGCATTTGCAGGAGGACATAAAACCTACTTGACTATGTTGGGATGATTGAAGTACTTCATCTTGCGCAGCAGCGCCACCTCCCGGATCATAAAGGCGGGGATCCCGGAGTCTGAAGTGTCTCCGTGGATGTTGAATTTCTTCACCGCCAGGAGGCGCTGTTTCTCCCCCACCTCTCTGGCTTTATACACCTTACTGTAGGAGCCCTCGCCTACTTCTGACAGCAGCTCGTAGCACAGCGGCTTAGTGCCGGCGTCCATTGTCTTCCACACTGAGGATAAATGAACCTGAACTTTACAGAAAAATGTCCATTTTAACATGTCAATAATTCAATGTGTCGTTTTTACCCGCTGCCGAGTTAAAATCAGAGTGAGCTAGCTAACCAGGCTTTAAATAAACTGAGGTTTGCAGGTTAGCTAGCAGGCAATTATCACCTGTCACAGAGCACAGACACAAACCACATGTTATAACACTGTTGATTCGGTTAACAAGTTGAGTTTCAGTCTTATCTGATCTTTACTTTACCTCAGACTGCAGACAGCACCTTCCCCTCCATGCCGCCGCCTGCAGGGAAATGTCGCTGCATAACTGTCGCCAGTGTCAGAAAATGATTTGAAAATCACACCCCTTTTATTCGCCAACTAATCAGAAAGCTCAAAATTCACATTTTGCTGAGCCCACTCGCCTTGCACGTGCTCCCTGTAGCTGTCAGTGTCAGTGTGAACACATGCTGCGTTCAAGTGCAGACAAGAAGTGTCATTAACTGAGCCCAGTGCACAGAAACAAAAAAAACAAACAAACAAACAAAAGTTTACGGTCAGGAAGGTGGATGGTTACCAGGCATTTACCAGGGACAAAAGCATGCAGGATTTCACTTTACATAAAAAGTAGCTTATAAATATTGAGTTTAGTCATTAATATCAAAGTAATTCTGCGTCTTACATTTTTAGATATGATCTTTTAAAGTTAAACACTTTGTAAGAATAAACAGTATGTTTGGTTATTGCTTATATTGTTGGCATTGTATTGTGTTGTTACCTTTATGACAACATGTAATGGGTGTATCATCAATCAATACAAAAAGAAAAAATATTTTTACCTGTTGAGATACTGTGATAAATATACGTACATAGTACACTAGACACCAAACAGCACCCAATTTATTGTTTGTACCCTTTAATATCCAAAAGGAAGAACCTTTGTAAATCTGTTACACACTGCAAACCAAACAAATGGCAAAATAAGGCAGCGTTAAATGCAAAGGCAGTCCTGAGAAAAAAATAAAAAATAAAAAATACACAACAAATTGTGTATGATTTAGAAAGGTTTTTGCATGAGGTTTGATAAGTGCAGGTTGACTGAAAGCTCAACAGCCATTTAACATCCCACCTCTTGCATTACTCACAATTTAACAAAACTGAAGTAGTCAAACATGAATTTCTGTAGTAGAAGAGTTCAGTTCTGATATGAGTCTGTGTGGAAATTAATGATTCATTATGTTAGATAAAATCTGGGAGTCTTTGAGCTGCGGCACTTGAAGCCTCCTTACACACGAGTTTGTTCTGAGTTTGTTTTAAGACCAAACTACTGGTTAATTACAGTATATATAACGGTCACTCAGCTGAATATAGTCAGGGAGGGTTATTCTCCTTTCAATTTGGTATTCATGAATTTTCTTTTCTTTGCCAGGGCGATGGCATCCAGATGGAGGTTGCGGTTGAGAATGACCGAACCGCAGGTGAGAGCTCCAGCGAGAGCGCCCGCAAAGCCACACACAAACACATCCTGACCTGTAATACAAAAGCATGGAATGCACCAAATTTAGATCACAGTGTATGGTCCTGTGAGGAAATGTGGACGACTTCTGGGTGAGCTCATGCTGTGTCACTGACCTGTCAGATAGAGGTTCTTCAGCGGAGTCTGAGGTCTCACTGTAGCGTTGAGTTCAGGGCTAAACCGGGCGATGCCATGATCTGCTCCGTAGATCTCACCCTTGGGGGCTCCAATGTAGTGTGTGTTTGTGATGGGGGTTCCAGCATCAATGTACTCAATCTACACAAAACACAAAGTCAATCTGTCTCAAAAAATATGAAAATCGCAAAATCTAATATTAAAGTCATTAATATGTAATTTGATGAATATATTTACATACATAATCTGAGTCCTCCATGATAAACTACAATATCCAAAGCATGTAAACACTGAGAAGATACAGGCACCGTACATCGTTATGCATATGCACAAAGTAGCAATAACAAGCCAAGAAGGAGAAGCAGGCTTTATTTTGAAAATAAAAACCTGATTTCTTTTCCAGTTTGGATTAGTTCACTATGAGCAAAGTTACAGAGCACAACACATGGATTCATTTGTCATGTTAGACAGCAGAGTCTTTACCTTGTCCCTGGTTATCTTAGGGAAGACGTCCATAACCACCTCCAGAATAGAGTCGATGAAAGCCTGCTTCAGCTCTTTGTAGTCCGCGCCTCTGTTCGACACTTTGCCGTCCTTCCACTCCCCAAACCACTCGTAGTTGGCAAAGCTGACCAGACTCAAGGTGGACTTGCCTGGTGTGAAGAGAAAACAAGACTTTTGGATTTAATTCAAAAAACACTACACACGCGCGCACACAAACGACAACACACACGACTGTTATTCTGGCCTGTTCACTGAAACTCATGCATGACCTGTCTCTGTACCTGGTGATCTTTCCTCCCAGGTTGGATCTTTAGCTGATGGTGAGGCAACGAACAGCAGAGGTACATTTTTAGCAGACTCCTCCCTCTCTCCATTCAGATAGTTCTCCACCCTGAAAACAAAAACAGATAATAGGATTTGGTAAATCCACACAGACACATAAATAGCTGAATCAGACAAAATATTTCAAATATCTTCAATTAAAATACAAAAATTACTAATAGTGATGTACATTCCTAAACGCATGCAGCACTAGCTTTTACAATAAGAACCTAAACCTGTAACCTTTAACCTTTCCATTATGAGCAAAGTGAACTCACATCTTCCACCTGGATTTAACCGGTTACTCTACATGAAGCTTTGAACAGTCAGTGAGTTTTTACTTTGGCTACAATCTCCACAAGGGAATTATAAAAAGCAACTGATGCAAAATTCCATACAACATACAGTTCATCAAAGTTGTTCTCAGTAAAGATCCAGTAGTTGTCTGCTTTCAGGCCCAGCTCCTCCTTGGTTCCAGTGAGACCCAGAAACACACTCAGGCCACCCTCGCCGTTCTTCATCATGCTGAGCTGCTTCTGGATGGCTGCAAGGCAAAAACATATAGTCCAGCTTTACTAGCAAAAAAAAACACTTTAAAAAATATTCTTATGTATTAAGTATTAACATGTGTTTCACGTATTGAACCACATTAAATAATGACCCCCCCCCCCCCCCCCCCCCCCAGTGCTGAAAAGATCAATCAATCTATCGATTAGAGAATAAACAGACAACACCTGTTGAAATATACATAGACACACATACACTAGACACCAAACAGCATCCAGTTTATTGTTTGAACCCTTTACTATCCAAAAGGAAGAAACTTTGTAAATCCGTTACACACTGCAAACCAAACAAATGGCAAAATTAGGCACAGCGCACAGGAGACAGGAAAGTCGGGGAGAGAGAGAGGGGATGACATGAAGCAAAGGGCCACTGGTCAGATTCAAACCCGGGCCGCTGCGGTTAGGACTAAGCCTTAACGGCAAATTAATTGTTTAAAAAAAAAAAAAAAAAAAGGATTAAAATAATGATGCAGCACTAATTCCTTCCTGACCTGGCATGGCCTGGAGCTCCTTGGGCAGCAGCTTCTGGTAGGTGTTGAAGATGCCGGCGTTGGAGATGACCATGGGGGCATGGATATGGATTTCCTCCTGACCTTTCATGACACTCACACCTGAAACCATGGAAACAAACAACCAAATTCAGTGAATCTTGTCTCTGTAGGAGCTGCATGCTGTGGCTGAGTGCTGTGATAAAGTCAAACACAGGAATCACACCCACCATAGGCTTCCTTGGCATCATTGAACAAGATTCTGTTGACTGGGGCTCGAACTAGAACAGCACCACCAGCCTTCTCAATGATGGGGATCATGTGGTAGGCAATTTCACTGGCTCCACCTTTAGGATACCAGGCACCATTCAGGTAGTGAGTGACCAGCAAGCTGTGCATAGAAAAACTGGAATCTTTTGGCATGTTACCTGCAGATCAGAGAAGGAAAGGAAAACTATGAGCTGCAGAGCCGACAGTCGACCATACCACGCCAACAGATCTGTCACCTGTCCTACCGTAGGTGCCAAAGATGTAGGCGAAAACAGCTCTTAGGTCTTTGTTCTCTGTCAGTTCATTGACCACTTCTGTCAGGCTGCGGGAGGCCATTTTGAAAAAGAAGGACAGACGTTTGGCCAGGCCGCTGTAGACCAGGAACTTAGCCAGAGGGACGGGGCAGAGCTTCAGCACAGCAAGTAACCAAATGCCCCGTCCGGCTTTCTGGAGACAAAACACACAAATACACTTGAGACCCATGAGTGTAATCAAAGCAGTCCTGTTTCCATAATGAGCCTAATTATATTTCCCAAAGTAGACACTGCTGTTTTGTGCATAAATATGGTGTCAGATGCACTTCTGAGGAAGTTTAAATGGCCGTTCTACCATTTATAAATTAACACTGAATACATGCACTATTCATTCATATGTTAAATATTATTTTGGTTACAGTATGGAAATATAAAACTGAACACTGCCTGAGTGAGGATGCACCTTTCACAGGAGAACGGACAAGCAGATAAAAGGAAGCATAGAAAAATCCCTGTGGATTGAAACTATGCACACAAAAACGTGCAAAAAAAAAAAAAGAAATGTTAATATCATATTTACTCACCTGTCATCTTTGTTAATTAATTTCTCCATTTCTAATTTTGCATCAACTAGTTCATTCTTACAAACTTATCTGCGCAATTACAAAGAAATAAATGATAAACTGACATTTATAATTTATAGATGCACTAAACTGACACCACACAGGTGAAGAAAGTAGCATCTGTATCTTATCTATGTGTCAAAGCACAACACTGATGCAACTCTATCAGATTAAAATTATGCAATACTGTATATCAGCTAATAAGAGACCTTGCCAGTTACGCAGTCACCTTTGACTTACAAACCCTTGCGCCCTTGAGGAATTATCAGTGACAACATCAACAGAAATCTGGATGATGAAGCCCCTATGTGCTAAAGTGCAGTTTTTAACACACAGCTCAGTGGGAGAAAAGGCATTTGCACATAAAAATAAGTAAAGTAAAGGTCCCATAAGAAAATAAGTTAAGATATTAAAATAATTTTACTAAAAAATGTCTTAGTTGACACATCTTCAAGGTATTCCAGTAACTCTTTACTTACAGTATGGGTTTATTTAAAAGTCATTACAAGTTTTTGTATTGAAGCTGAAATTTTTTAGCTCAGTATGTGAAGCAAAAAAAATCCCACCTTTGCCAGATTTATGTACTCGTCGATGGCCTTCTCCTCTCCGGGGAAACACTTCTTCAGCTCCTCAGGGAAGCGGGTCCTGCCGCTGTAGATGGGATACTGGCGGCGGTTTTCTGGAGGTCCCAGAACTACGTGGTCAAATGGATTCTCTAGAGGTTCCCACTGCAGCTGTCCGTTGGTCATCTGGTCCAGCATGCAGCGGAACGGCTTGTGTTCCAGCAGGTCCCCGATGTAGTGGATTCCTGAGGAAGGAAGGAGGAAAATAAGTGGACAAATCAGGGTTTTATGTTATCACAGAGCAGGACGTTCAACTCTCACTTTAACTGAGACAGATTTTCACTGCTTTTACTTAGTGAGAATAAAGTAGTTCCGGGAAGTAAAGATGTGTATTTCAGAGCCTGTCAGCACCAGCATTTTCTTAATTTTAGATGTGACATATTTATGAAATCTAAAAGAAAAATACTGAAGAGAGACAAGAGCCATCTTTCTCACCAACATCAAACTCAAAGCCCTTCTCAGTGAATGTGTGACAGCATCCCCCGGCCCGATCATGCTGCTCCAGAACCAGGACTTTCTTTCCAACTTTGGCCAGCAGCACTGCGAGTCCGAGCCCACCGATCCCGCTGCCGATGATGATGGCATCCAGGTTGTCAGGGACTTTACTGGCCACAAAACCTAAAGAAGAGGCGACAGTACATTCAAACATCAGCATGGCTGTGGCACAAAGGGCACAACAACAGTTAATCTTGTAGGTCCACAAATAAAACGCATATATGAAAATTTGACCAACATTATTTGGTTTCATCTTCACAAATAAGAGAATTGACTTAATTTACTCCATTTAATATCTTTGTAAAGTGAATACCTTTAGGATTTGGGACTGCTGGTCAAACATACAGTAAATGTGGCAGGAAGGAATTTCTGATTGGCTTTGCCATTTTGATATTTAAGATTAACTGGTTGATAATAATCAGTCAACTAACAATGACACTTTTTGATAGCCTTAGATTACTACCTCTTAATCAGAATGTTTGTGTTTGTGTCAATATCTTATGACCGATAGACCCATAGATTTGATTAAATGTATTTTTAAAGATGTGTTTGGATGGAGAAGTGCATGGAACAAGTTATTATTTTCATTATTGATAAATCTAAAAGAATTTTTTGAATAATGTGCCTTACAATTTTTCAGAGGCAATCATGACATCTTCTATATTACTTATTTCATGTGAACAACTACCCAAAACTCAAATTTATCTAATTCACGTGATGTAAAACAGAGAAAAGAAAGACATCTAGAAAGCTAGAATCAGATCATGTTTACTATTTTTGCTTGGATTTTGCTTGATTATAAAAAATAGTTGAAGATTAATTAATTTAGCAGTTTATTTTAAAGTACAGCATCTGAGAGCACTTTATACTTGAAGAGAAAAATAAAACATACGAAACGAAGGCGATATCTTTAACGCAAGTCGATTTCAGTGCATCAACAGCAGCATTGACAAAGTTAGCTTTGTCTTTAGCCCCCACCAAACATTATGCAAGACATGACTGTACGGAACCATACTGTACAAAGTGGAAGTTCGCCTGCAGCCACATTCTTCACTGACTGCTCCACAGTATTAGGTAATAATGAGCCAATATTTTACTTTAAAGGTGGAGAAATCCTCTTCAGACTCAGAAAACTCGACAAACTATCATTTCCATCGATTTTAGTTTATTTCTTACATCTAAAAAGTTAATGTAACATCATATATGACGACCTTTGTCATTTAACTCACCTTGCTTCAACACTTTATTTTTCTCTTTCCTGTCGTGAACCATCTTTTTCAACGGTTCACGACTGTCCGTCTCGAAGGGGTTGGGTCCGGAGCTACTGAAGACATATTTTAATATAAATGCGACCAAAGCGACACAAATTATCGCTACACTGATCCACATTGTGGCAGAATACCGGGCAGTTGTCAATCTGACCACTCCGCTCACGGACTGTTCTCTTCCGCAATAAGTTCCGCCAAAGTGACTGACAGTGGATGACGCCGACCAATCAGAGCTTCATTTGCTATGCGACTGACAATTTTGACCAATCAACGCCTCGTTTAAAAAAAGAGAAAAAACAGATTGTTGAAAATAATAATAAAATAATTGATATATTGATAAACAATAATACTTTTTATTCACTGGCATTTTTAGTTCACTAACCTTCTAGTCCATTGTCATGTTCATATACAGTCATTCTGAGTATTTGCTTCTTCTTGTTTTCTTGTTTGTTAGTATACTGTATTTATATGTCTCTAAATAGAGTGTACTTACCTGCTCTCTTTGTGTTTATGTACTGCACACATTTACTTTACTTGCTTTTATTTATCTTATCCTTTGTACAGCACTTTGGTTTCGTTCAAGCTGTGTTTAAATGTGCTCTAGAAATAAAGTTGACTTGACTAATAATTATTACTACTTCTACTATCTGAGGTTTAAAGTTCATCCAAATCTTGCACATCTTCTCTGTTCTTTTGTTTTTGTTTTATTTTATTCTACTCCGTTTCTTATACTTTTAAAATGTATAATTTTGCCAAATTAAAGCTGAAATGTTTTTTATCATGATTCATCCATGTATAAAGCACCTGTCACTTTCTTTGGAAAAGTGTTGTATAAAGTTTAATGTTATTACTGTTAGTAGTAATGGTGGTAGCACATACAGTACAATGCAGAGGTTTTGGTTTTCAATTAACTTAAAAGTGCAGTAAAAAAAAAAAAAAACTTGAATCAAAATAGTTTTTCATGGTACTTGGCAGGTAGGTTGTTCCAAGCATCTTGGAGAACTCTTCTGTGGATATAGGCTGTCTCGGTGTCTTCTGTCTCTTCATGTGATCTCACACTGACTCCATGATGTTGGCATGAGGACTCTTTGGGGGCCAGACCGTGTGTTGCAGGACTCCTTGTGTTCTTCTTGTCACTGAAGATAGTTCTTTGCGACTCTGGCTGTATGTTTGGGGTCATTCGGGACCAATCACATGCTTCCCTGATGGTGTTGCATGATGCATAAAAGTGCTTAAAACTGCAGTACTGCACGTATACATACACAACCAGCAGTAAGTGATCGTTGTGTATTTGTGTCTTTAAACCCTGCATCTGATAAGAGCTGTTGGAATGAGATGCATCTGATAAAAATCTCGTCAGTTGATGATTTGTTCTTAAATAGTCAACAAAAAGTTCAAGTTAAACAGGAGCACAAAGTATCACTTGTCACATCGAAAAGTATTTTTTTCTTTTAACCATTTGCCCTTAGTGTGAGGAGTGAAACTCAAACAAAGCACACAAAAACATCACAGCAACTAGATTTTATTTTTTTGCTCCAAAAAAAAAAAAAAAAAAAAAAAAAACAACAAAAAAAATCACCTGCATCTTCACATTCGTTTCCTGCAACACCATGAGACCCATGATTTATCTATCTATTTTTTACATCTGTTTGCAAATAGAACCAACAGCTTACATAAGAAACACTTGAAGAGGGGGCATCTCCCCAGTCGTCATCATCACTGCTGTTCATGGGCGCAGCCTTAACATCCGCCCTGAAACCTCACACACCTTAAACTGATGTGAACTGCGAGATCAGCATAGGGCTCCATCTGCTGTATGAGGTGATATGTGAGGCTCATATTTCATGTCTGTTAATAAAATTGCATGTTTGTTGTCACTTACTGAATTTAGCCCAGTAAATGGCATGTTAGAGATGTTGTTTCATTACATGAGACAAACTTTATACAGCAAAGAGCCTGACAGTGCCAGCTATGTGCATGTAAACTTGCCAGTTTTTTGTGTGGGTGTATTTGTTGTATTTTACTATATTATTATTTTTATTTATTTTTAAGACTTCCTAAGAGACACACCCCACCCCCCTCCCCAAGCAAAATCTGCATAATGAGTTCCAAAAAATTCCATCAATAAATCAAGAGGTGGCATCACAAATCTGATTCCTGCTGATAAATGTGTTGAGTAAACCTCGTCGGAATGCCTTCAACTTCTCCGTGGCAGTCCACCCTCGTCCAAAATGACTGATTTTTTTTCCTCCTCTAACTGAGCTGGTCCATTATCATCAGTCCGTTTCTCTTTCTGCGTCTTCTGTTAGTGCAGTAAGCCGGGGAGGAGGTTAATGAAAGTTAATACAGATGAGAAGACCTCCAGAAGATGATATTTCTTCTTTAAGCAGTGCTGAAACATCTCCGTGATGACTGGTAGAACAGAGGGTTTGATGAGAAAAATAAAAAGAGACAGAAGGTCAGGCATGACAAGAGAAATCGTAACAGAAGCCCTTATCTGGTGTCCACTTTTGGTATTTATTACCTCATCTTTTTGAGCCTTTACGTCTTTAAAATATTTTTTGATCGTTTTTTTTATCTCTAAAACTTAAGGATGACAAATTTATTTGAATTGCAAAAAGCACTTCCAACATTTAGGAATAAAATAAAACTGTAGGTTCTAGTCTGTATGTGTTAGGGCACAATCCGCAGTTATGGTTGATATTATTTACAAGTATTGTACGATTTGTAGGTATGCCAACAGTGAGTGTTTGGTATAAAGTAATCTGTGCAAACTGTTCTTGTGTGTATGTGTGTTTGGTACAATCAAGACAGCTCTCAGATGTAATACAGTTGTTTGCGATGGTAACTACAATGGCTTAAGGTCCATGTGATCGAGGGAGGAGGAAGAGCTGAAGACTCCCCCCGCCTCCCTGCCTGGCAGCGGTAGTGCAGGTCAAAGTTCAAAAGGTCAAAAAGTAAAAATGGGCGGTGGGTTTTCCTTTCCTGAAGCAGGAAGTCACATCAGTCCATCTGTCAGGTGGTCAGTGCGATGGTGAGCTCTCCTGGCCTGTGGGTGACACTTGTTTATGGCGTAAAGGGATGTCACTGCAGCACCAACCCAACCTGAGAAAGAAGACATTGGAGCCGTTAGGAAAGCAGTGTTGTTGGAAACCTTAGGGTACAGTTGGTTCTGCAGGGTTCGCAAAGATAAACTGAAGACTTTATAATAAAGGATGCAATTTAATATCTTTCATGGTCAAACCAGTGAAAGGATGAAAGTATGATGGAGGGACAAAGTGGCCTAGAATTATTTATATTAAATTAAAAAAAAAAAAAATAATAAAATATATATATAATTAGTCAGACAGGTCTGATGGTGCTGACTGCAACTCTACAAAGAACAGACTGAACAGCCTCCTGCATTAACAATCCATTGTTTTTGAGGAAATTAAAATTTTTAAAATTTTGTACCTTTTCTGACCCCATGCTGGGACACTTCCAATTGTACAGATAATACTGTAGATTCCCATCACCGATGCCAAACTTAAGCTTCTCCAAGAAAGTCTTGTTTTCCATTAGATCCAGTGCATTGAAGACGTCAAACCCTTTCTGGATGAAGAGATGAGAAGAAAAGCCTCATTAGTTCCCTGAGGATAAACATTGAACAGAACAAGGAAGCGTGGGTTGAAGAGGAACACACCGATTTGGCCAGAATGAGGGCATCAGACATCAGGTCGAGCATGGGGGTGGTGGTGTGCACATTGTAGAAGGAGTACGCTGCTTTTAGACTGCGATGCACAGGGTGGTTCATGATGGTAGAGGGCAGTGTGTAGAAACTCAGGAAATCCGTCACCTTGCCATCATTCTGTCAGAAACAGAACACACACTTTTATAAAAGCTACTGGTGTACAACACGGCAGCAGGACTGTGTTAAAAACAGAATCATTTAAATATTCTCAGGTATATATATGTATATTTTTTTATTTTTACCTCCACCAGGTAAGTGTCGATAATGTTCTCCCGGGGCAGCAGCCAGTGCGCCACCTCTTCCTGGTTCATGGCGGGCACAAGGTTGAACTGGCTCAGGTACTCACGGAGGAGGCGATGCACCACTGGCACATCCTTCTTGGTCATCGGCCGCAGACCCGGAGTCTTCGGGGCCTGAAGGAGAAGATTTGGAGTAGGAGAATAAAGCCATGCTGCAGTCTCACAGATTTATTGTCAGTGTGTCAGTGTTTTCACCAACCTCAGGCAGACGGTACAACTTCATGGTGCGCTGCATAGTCATGTTCCTGCTCAGGTGGGAGAACTTCACTTCGATTAGTTTGCGTGGGTTCAAAGAACGATGCCAGTACCTGAACGAAGAAATATAATTAAGCATCTACTAAATGACACTGTGTAAAGAAAAAAAAAAAAGAAAAGAAACAAAAGAAGTTTCTCTGTCTGACCCACCTGCATGTGCCCACAGGTTTGGGCAGTACCACTCCAGCAGTGTACACCGCCTGAAAGATGCCCTGCAGGTTGACCCGTCTGGTGATCTCTCTGATCAGAACCGGAGCAACTCGTTTGGAGCGAAGCTTCTTGTGGACACAGAGGAAATTGATCTCAACCATTTTCTTTTCTCTAAAACACAAGACGAACAATTATATGAGCAAGTCTGCAACAAACTCTCATCAGAATAATGTCAATGAATAAAAAAAAAAAAAAAAAAAAGCATTTGCATTATTGTACTAAACACCATTTACATTAAAGTGACTAATTATCACATATTGCACCTACAATTTAAATCAAGATTGTGACATGACTGAGTTATCATGTGCAATAATAACTGACTTCATGGACTCACTCTGCTTTTATACTGTTTATCGTTTGATTTTATTTATTTACACAATTGTAATGTGTAGTTTTGTCACTGTATGCAGTTATGTTTACTGTATGTATTACTGCATGTACCACTGGAGACGCAATTTCATTGTACACTGCAATGACAATAAAGGCAATGAATAGAAAGGAACATGATTCTACCTGTACTGTAATTTCAGTATGAATTTTAAGACTTTATATTGTACATAACTTCTTCTGCATACAGTCTTTTCAGATCAAAAATAATATTTATGTAGATCTGATGTGAGAGAAAAAAAGGAAGTTAATCCTTCATCACTTCTTTGTTTCACGCAGCATGAGATGTAAACTGGAAATTTCCCTCCGTATTGAGGTTTTTAAGTTTTCATTCTACACCGTTGTGTTCACTTACATGTCATAGATGCGGATGGTGGCAGGAATGGCACTGATAAAGCCCACCAGCTTCTGGTTGGAGTTCACCCTCACTCCACAATGCCACTGGGGCAACCAGCCAGGGGGGCGCAGGGCCCTGAAAGAGAGAGAAGTCAGTGAGTTGAATGCAACAGATTGATCTACCAAGTCCCTTATTATTTAAAAATGCCAGAAAGCATAGGGTTAACTGTCGCACATTCCACATAACATTGAACATTTAAGATCGTTGTTGGGTGTAAAAATGGAAAAATTACAGATTTGAAGAATTACCAGAGCAGGAACTCGGGGGAGTAGTCAAATCTGAACATGTTGTCATCATCTTCCACATAGTTCTCGTTGAGAAGGGTGTAAAGCTCCTTGAGCTGATTTCAGGGAAGACAGAATTCAACAGAGTCACGACCTTTATGAAAATGGCAGAGCACTGTGATAAAACCACAATCAGAAAACACACTGAATAAGAAAGTTCTTAAAATGATACCAAAAGCAAACGTTTCCCAAACAGTAAACAACCTTTCAGTATCATTATCTGAAGTCTATGTGAATATGACCATATGTTATAAATTTAAGACACATACTAAAACTCTGTCAATCCAACCATTTCTGCATCACTTCTGGGGAAATTATTTTAAAGCAATACAAACCACTTAAGATTCAAAGCCAAACCTGTAAATGAAAAAGATTATTGTACATTTTGTATCTTACCCTCTTGGTATAAAGAATCTCACCAATTTTTGACAAAAAGAGGCAATTAGTTTGTTTTTGTGTACCTGAGCTTCACCTTTGCTTTCTTAGATTATAGTTTTCATCTACAATTCAAGGTTACAAGTGTCAGCTTTAGTTTTCAACACCACTCGTGCACCCATTTTTTGTAAGCATTCATAAACTTCCCACAACTGTCAATGAAGGACACACTCAGATTGGCACTTTAATGAAAATAAATTCGTTTTCTAACAAAATGAAGCAAAAAGCGCAGACAGTCCAGGAAATATTCACCTACAGATTAATTCCTCATGTGCATCCCTGCATCAAGTGTGTGTGCGTTTATACACTTTCTTACCACAGCAGCGCTCCCCAGGTCGAGGGTGTCCCAGCTGAAGCCCTGTGGGAGGCTGTAGGGCTCCTCTCGAATGTTGCCTTTGTCGGGTTCAATGGAGCCGTGTGATGTCACCGTCTCCCCTGAAGGAAAACAAAATAAAGTTTCTGAAATGAAGCACAGAAACCTGGATACATACCAGTCACTTGATTGTGGGAAGAAATGTCAGATGTCATACCTAGCTTGGGCACAGGCTGCGTGTCCCAGAACTGGTAACTCCTTCGACTTGCCTCCTCCATGGTTTTGGCAGGGCCTTGGCCTACAGAGAACAGTTCGATGGCCTTTTGGATCTCCTGTAGCTTATCAGCTGGCAATGAATTCACCTGTTGGGAAAGTAAAGAGGAGTTAGAGCAACAACAAAACAGATGTATAAAGCAAAAAACAGGCACACTGTTCCAGGGGTCAATTCAGCAAATAAATAATTACTTTCTATACAAACTGTTTTGGTGTGAGTTGTAAGGGTGAAGATGTTTAATGATGTGGATGTAAAATGCAATCTACTGCACTGTGAGTTAGTGTAGTATCTCTATATTCTGCAGTTCACAACAGAACGTTTTCACTACACTGTTTTTTCTATTCTTTAGCACCTTTAAACTAAAATGTATTGCTTCAAAATTCACAGAATTCATGCCTTGGCAAGGGTGTCCTGAGCTGCTTCTGTGGCACCAGATTTCTTCTTCTTTTTCTGCTTCTTTTTCTTTTTCTTGGCGCCAGTGTCGTCAGCCAGACCCCTGTCACTGAAACAGGACACAAACAGTGTTTTTTTTTTTGTTTTTTTTTAAATCTCTACCTGGCATACACTTACAATACCCAGGATGATTAAAGCTGCATCATACACCCTTTCGTACTGAAATACTATACATACACTCATCTTTTCAGTTCATTTCTAAATATTAAAAACATTTAAAATGAATTATGTTATCCCAGATGAGGACACTGGAAAAAAGATAAATACAGCAATTCTAAACTGGCCAGGTAAAGACAGAAAACCTATGAGCAGTTTACTGACAACATTTTCAATCATTTTTCAATTAATCACTTGGCCAACTAAATGTTAACACACAGTTTCCCAGGATGCAAGCTGATGTCTTCAAATACCTCGTTTTGGTTGACCAACGATCCAAAACGTAACCCATTATCAAATTCTCCATCTCATTAAAACAAACAGCAAACCCATTAATCAGTTATCAAAAGAGTGGTTGATTAATTTTCTGTACCTCAACTTATCTTTCCAGCTCTACACAAATAAATCCTTGGTCCTAAAAGATGAAAGTTATTCTCATTGTTATTCATTTCCACCACCATTTCCATGTTTTAGTAGTGGCCAACAAAGTGGCTGTTTAGTTGTGAAAGGTTAATGTATGGTTAGTTTGAGAAGCATCTCTCGATGACAGGCAAACCCAGTTGTTTGTCTACCTTGACCGAGTAAAGACACAACTACAGTGGTCTAACAACAAGAAAAAGTGCAACATAAAGTCACAAAAAAGCAGGAGGACACCTGTCACCTGTATCAGCTGTTTGTGCTGAAAAACCAGATGCAGAGGGATACAGGACAGTACAAAATCAGGTAGCCCAAGCTCCGGGCAACCCCCCTCCCATAGCATGTGTGTCATAACCTTCTGCTCTGATCATTCCAACCTGAGCAGCCACAGCCCCCCACCCATCTACCCCGTCTTCTGGCCTAAGAAAGACTGCATACTTACAGAGGATAATCTCATTAGTGTCCAAGAGAGGAGAGAAGCCAAGCACTGGCCTGTAATTGTAACACCAGCACAGATGGTGAATCACATGACCTCAGGAAGAAGAGTGTGTGTGGTATCTACGTGCATGTACATATGTGCGTACAAGAGGTCAGTGAGGGACTGGGACAATGGACAACAAAACATTCAATAGTTTGTTCCACAGGCTTCCATGTCAACAGAGTGAACCAGTTAACAGCCAGGACTATCCTTTGTTTCTGTATGTGTATGAGTTAGGTGCAGGGGAATAACATGTGTTGCTGGAAAACAGTGCCAGTGAAACACACATTTGCTTCACTTGAGTTAATAAAAAAAGGGTAATCAATTTCACCTTACAGCAGCAGCAGCGCATCGGGGAGAAAAATATATATTTCTGTTATACAAAATTATTGTTTTTTGCTTTTTTTCTTATACTGAACACTAACCCTCTAACACTTAGGGTTGTGTGGAACAATCATGAAAGTATTCATACTGCCAACACAAAGTCTTGTTTTGAGTATCATGACTATATCAAATATATCTTTAAAAAAAAAAAAAAAAAAAATGTTAAGCGCATGTTAGATCACATCATGGACATAAGAATACTCTTTTTTGGTGCTGCAATATTTGCATATCTGCTGCTGTTAAATGTGTGTGTGCAGCTTTTAAAGTCAGATTTCACATGAGCATTTGTTATCTTGTGTCTAAACATGCATGTATAATTAACAGAACAGTAAACAGAAATGAGCCATGATTTGCAAATTATTCAGTGATAATTCAAATATATTCAGAAGTATCCTATAAATAATGCATCCACTTTAAAAATCGTGACATCTTTATCCCCCTTACATCACTCATTAGCTGCTATTAACAAAAAATAGTATCAATATAGGTTTGCATATTAGTGATCCTGGCACTTGCTTTTACTTTTCTTTTCAGAGGTCAGGATCCGAAAAAGGTTCTGTACTTCTGCTATGTAGCAGCACCCTCTCTCTTCATTTACTCCAATAAACTGCAAAAGCACTTGCCGTGAGCAGGACACGCCTTAATATTTGCAAGCTTGGACTCCTTTCATGTGTGCCACCGCTTGGTAAACATTAACAGAAGCCAGTGCCAAGCGAGGCAGGATTTTCATTAAAGCCTGTTTTCAGTAAGAGCTATTCACAGCTAGGCTGCTTTAAGATCCGTCATATTTCTGTGATTCAATTGGGAATTAAATCGGTCCCCAGACTCCTGGGTTACCCAGACCAGTCCAGATATATGCCTTTACCAAGATGCATGTGTAACAACATCCAGGTTTTGCTTGTTTCACTTTTGATTTGGCTTAAGCCTCCACCGAAATCCACGCGCAGACAATAGGGGTTTGACAGCTATGTTAGCATGCAAGCTAACTCGTTAGCTAAATGTCAGCCATGAATTGCATCAGTTTCAGGCAGTCACCAACGGCGTGCGGGCAATATCACGAACTGTCAACTTAATAAACAGATTGGACTTATTTATAAGATGTAAAAATGAGAGGAAATGTTTGGCTTAATGATAGCGCTAGCTATGAACTGCTGTTTGGTTTTTTCTACCCCCAATTCTACGCCTTGCTATCCGGGGCTAATGCAAAGCGCCGCTAAAGCCTGCCCATATGAGAAACAGAATGCACTATCAGCCAATCATAACAAAGAATTGACAAGCGAACGCCGTTTCTAGCCAATAGGGTGAAAGCAAGTGGGCGGGACATCTTCCTCCCATCGATGGCTGTCTATTCCCTATCGCTCGCCGAGGCTTTACTTTGCACTCGCTTTGCAGACGTGTGTAGCGGCGTGACACAATTTACACCACCGTGGCACTGAGCTTGTCTTCTTACCCGTCGTCAAAGTGGTGCTCTTCATTTTCACAGTCGCTGCAGTGTCCATGGTCCTCTACATCTTCTTTCTCCGGCATCGGTGCTGTCTCATTCTCATCCGCCATCTTCATCCCGGAAGTGAGCGACCACCGCGTGTTGTCGACGCCTTTAAACCCGCCTCGGTGTTATTGGCTCACCGCTGTCTCCGACTGTTCTCTAGTAGTTACAATAAACACATGCTCATAGGCAGTGGGGACGATTTGGGTTTGAAGTTTCAATTTTAAACTCCACAACCCAATACAATAATAAAACGTTTAACATTTATTGGATCTGATCTTCTTTTCTCTCATAACCACACAAACTCGATTAGAATCATGTGATCTGCATTTTGCCCTAAAGGTAAAACGGTTACGTTTTTGACAGGAAGCACATGATGTGTGGATATGCATGGAGTAGGCTTACAGCTTAAACCGACGTCCACTATTAACACTGTCATAATAATGTTCATATGAGCTGATAAATAAGGCAGCGTTTGTAAAGGGTAAAGTTCAAAGTAACTCTAAATCTTATTAATCATTGATTTTAGCTTTATAGATCAGTCATTACGCATGAATAAGAAAAGCCTGCCATAAGTTTAATTGATAGAGAGACAAATGAATGTTAATATTGAATGAGCTGACACAAGGGGACAATATACCTCTGTCCAGAATTTATTAGCACATATAGAGGGGTCATGTAGGATCCTGCTGGTCTGCTCAAAAATTGTAATCAGACTGAAGATGTCTGCCTTAAATTTAACCATGAGGTTTCCAAACCAGCTGATAATATCAGAAGCTCAAATCGGATGCTAAAAAACAAAACAAAAAAACAACGTCATTTTGCTGCAGACATCGACGTCTCTGAAGGTAATGGATGACTATGTTTATTAATGTGGACTATTTGATATTATCTCATTCCTGTCATAGAGCCCTGTTGTCCAGAAAACTATTAAAAACACATCAATGAGCCACAGTCACTCAGAGACACTAGTTTGAGTCAATCCTGTAGACACTGTCCTGCTGCTAGTTACTCACCACAGCACCGAATGTGTATTAATCTGCCACTGGAAATAATCCCCAACAATATACATAAAATCCTGTTTGAGTAAGGGTTACAAAAAATACAGTGCTCACTTGTTTCTGGAAATTATTTGGTGTTTTTTTTTTAATATTGAAGCATAAATTTGTGACACATTTAGGAAGCAAAGAAATTTGAGCCGAGAAAGAAAGTACTCATCGTTGGGTATTACCAGATTTATCCTTTGACACTTAAAACTATAGACTTCACGATTAAAACAATTAATCGCTTTTGCCTTTCTCTACATGACACACACACACACACACACACATACACACACACACACACACACACTATCTCTCTCTATGTTTATAGCATTTGCAAAAACAATAACAAAAGGTCTCACACAGTGATGTGTAATTAGTGCTTTTATGAAAACAGTATTTTCTCTTGTATACAACTGCCTTTCACATGACGTAGGCCACAAACTTTAACACTGCAAAGTTGTACTTCACTCACCATTTGGTACACACTAGAGTTATTACTGAAACCTTGAAACCCATCCTGATCTTATATACTGCTATTACAGTAATCCACGTGCAGCACCCTTCATTACTGAACCGCTTTATCATCAGGGAGCCTCGTCGCATTTAACAACTCACTGTAGCCTGCAGTAATTTGCTGGTTGTCTTTGATTGTAGCAATTAGTGTTTAACAACAGTTTACAAGATCAGAAAGTAAAGACAAGAATTGGCAACAAAAAAAGTAATAATGCACAGTGGTCAATAGAAAAGAGGCAACATGCAAATATCTTCAGAAGTCAAACACAATTTGACTAAACACATGATTGTGTGTGAAATATCGCTGAAGCAAATACAACAATTAAAATGTTTAAGAGCATAAGTAAACATACATAAATCTGCAAGTTAATACAATTTATATTTCAAGTTCATTCGTTAGTTGGTAAGTGTAAATACTGTATATTGTCATTTGTCTCCTGAGAGAAATTAAAAGTGCCAAGAGTATCTGGAGAATCAAGTAAGACTAACTATTAGAACATTTGTTCAACCTTCACAATACAACCTGTGGCAATCACTGGCACAGTGTTACATCTGTATTACATCACAGTTAGCACTGAAACATTAATTTGTAAAACAATATTTATCATTTTTTAATCACAGCTAGTCATGCTTAGATTCCTTCTAAGAGCACTTATCAAAGCCTCCGTTAAGTAAGAGCTACTTTTATTAAACTATCCTCATTCTATAAGTTAAAGCCAAATTCAAATGTTAAAAAGTTTCTAGAATTAAAAATACATGATGACGATGAAATGCATCTTTTAAGCAACTTAAATGGGACACCGTCCTGTATGAGAGTTAACAATATTTAAATTCTTTTTTGTAAAGAGTCCCATATCAGTGTGTTTCATGAAGCACAGTCCTCAGTGCCCTGTTTCCAGAGCAATAAGCACTGATAAGACCAGATACTCCCACAGTGTTTCATGGATTCATTATCCAGCTCGAGGCGATTCATTTGCTGAGAGCCGGCATGCCTCTTCATCTCTGATAAACAACATCTTTCTTCCTGCATTGGGAAGTGGCTCAGTGTAAATTGGACCACTTGAGGTCTGGACCGGGAGACCGGCTGGCAGCAGCAGCATCAGTCTGTCTGTCCTCACAGTCAGAGCTCTTTTTCCAAAGCCCTTTGTTGTCAGAATATGCAGCTTCCTATCTGCTTCAGATGAACGTCATGCCATGCCTTTGGCGATGGCCATACGCTCGGACACAGTTTTGATGGGAACTCCTTTGCGGCTCACTTTGACATGGATAAAGAGCGTGGCGGGGGACAGACTGGAACCATCTGCCTTTAATAAGTGAACATGTCGATAACCTGAGAAAAGAGAATACAGCACACACATTACACAGAGCGTGCAGCAGTGCTGGATGTCTTATAATACGTACAGCAGATTTTTATGAGCACCTGTGCGAAGGCTTGTAAACGGTAAAGTGAACTGCCCCACAAAGTCATTTTTGGCCGTGTGGTCATGGTCCTCCACTACGAACCGCACCAGGGCCAGATCAGGGACCTGCAGCTGGAAGCTTAGAGTGCATTCCCACCGTGGGTTAAAACCTGTAGAGGGCGCACAAGAGCTGTAAATAGATCATCCAGTACTGTACCTTTCAAACAAACTAATCATGGCGCTGGACAGGAAAAGCTCCTACAAAAATATGTCAAAGATCTGCGCTGCACAGAATCAGGCACAAAGAAGCTGATGGATATTATGTGTTACCTCCTGCCTTCACGGGCTAAGAAAAAAAAAAGACTATAATGAATAAAAAACATTGCAGCATTACATTATTCTACAGAAATAATTAATCATAAGCTTAAAACATCTCTACAAGTAATAATATAAGGTTTTTACTTTCATGAAATCCCTAAATTACCGTTGTTGTCAATGCGGTGTGTTTTGTCTCGTGTATTATCGATAGCCACCCCATGAATTTCCACCCACACTTGTGGATCCACAATGGAGCTCGCCTTTTCTGTGTTGATTTTTGGCAGCTGCTGTGCGGATATTATCTGTCGAGTAAAATGCAATCAGTCAGTTTTTGCGCATCAAACTCTGGTTGGAAATGTATCAAAATTATATTGTTCATTTTATTTGTACAAACCAAATTTGCAAAGGGCTTTACAGTATATAAGATTGGATGATTTTAAACCCTTGCGGAGAGAAAAAAAAACCTTTAATGGGGGAAAAAAAAAGCTGATAACAGAGGAGAGACCCCTCCTCTAGGATGGAGAGACATGCAATAGATGTGGACAGAAATACTGAAATTAGACTGTGGTTAAACAAGATGACAAGATTGTAAACATACAGTGTGTGAAGATTTGGATCCAGGAAAACAAAGCATTTCAAAATTACATGGTAATACATCAAAAAGCCTAAAACTGTGTTCTGTGTCAGACAAAAACAAACTCCCACATTATATCAAATTATCATTAAGTACCAATAAAACAGTGGCTCTTGATCATTAGCCTCTTTTTAACAGAGATCCTGCTATACTGCCGTTATGAAGACCCTTCATTATGCTGTGATTTTGTGTGTGATTTTAGATAGCATGATGGCGTTCCACAATTAAGGGCGTGACGTGTGACACAACAGCGTTGATGTCTGTCAAGCAAAGCCGGCTCTCACTTTTATACAGATGTTGATCCAGCTCTATGACTTCCTCCGCTCGCAGTTTAAAGGTGGAACAACAACACCCCCCCATTCTGTGTTCATACCTTTTTATACATTCCCACCTTGAACAGGCAGTGTAAAACGGCCAACTGTTACTGAATAGGTTACCACTCACTCTTATAGTCAGTTTGGTGGGGATGTGCCCGGGGCCTCCTCCCGTGATCTCTGGGTTAAAGTTGCACGTGTTGCTGCACAGGAAGCTGGGTTTGAGGACGTATCCACAGCGACCGTTGGGAAGGAAGCGACCCTGGTTCAGGTCCATCTGCTCCCCTGGTGTCTGGAAGTTCAGAGCGACTGCACAGCACAAAGAGGAGAACGGAATCGGTAACACGGCAAAGCCCAATCGCAAACGTGCTAACGGACCGCATTTCAGCATCAGTGAGCATTGAATTACAGTCAATGAATCAGTGGCCAGTGACATCAACGTGCTTTGATGTGGCAGCACTTTGTAGAAATGAAAGTCAGTATAAGAGTTCCTTGGCTCCTACTGACCGCGCAATGTTTTTCAAACGAATTGACGTCATTTGCTGCCATCAGAAAAGCATCGTAGCTTCTAGGCTGGAGTACTAACCCATCTGGCAGCCACCGTTCCACATTTCCTGAGGATCATAGTTGGATGATTGGAGGCGCTGACCGGAGGGGTAGATCCGGCTCAGCTGCCTGCTGTTGTGTCTTACAAAAAACTTTCCTGCAAATGAAAAAAGAGAAGAAAAAAAAAACACATACCGTGATACACTGGAGGGTTATTATATTTTCTGTAGAATCAGCTGCAGCAAAGCAATGTCATAAAATCTTTTTCGACTCTCTCTATGTAATGTCGAGATGCAACTATTTGCACCGTTGTACCCGAGTCTTTGATGAGCCTGAGGGCTTCACTTTCAGAGAAGGAGGACATTTCATTTGGTGGTTTTTCAGAAGCATTTTCAAAGCCACGGAAGGGGACGCTCCTGCAGTACACCACCAGAGCTGACAGCTCAGGGCTCAGTTTACAAGATACCTGGAGAGGGCAAATGCAAACATACAAGGCAATTGGTGGATTATCTACAAAACATTCGGCTTCCCAGGCTTAATGACGGGTCTTCATGAACTGACCTTTGCTGGATCCTTCTTGGGTGTGTTCTTATTGCTGCTCGCTAGTTCGTCTTCAGAGCTAGAGGAGAAGCTGGCACAGCTGCCTGTCTTGCCCAGCTGGCCAAGGTGAGGAATCTGCTTCTTCCCTTTTACCAGAATACGCCCCTTCAGGTCCTGCAGCGAAGGTTATTGGAACAAATTACTTAATTAGAAAACCAGACAGCCAGAGGTCTTTGAAAAAGGATCCAGCTATGTGTGTGTGTGTGTGTGTGTGTGTGTGTGTGTGTGTGTGTGTGTGTGTGTGTGTGTGTTTTGTACCTCGGGAGATGGCAGATCTTTCAGCGGGCTGTCACCAAGGGGCTTTGTGAGCAATTTGCTGCCGAGGATGGTGCGGAGGTGTCTGGCCATCACAGCCTGCTGCTCCACAGAACAGTGGTTCTCCAAGGATAGAATTAGAGGGTATGGGGAGGCCTGCAGGGAGGAAACACAGGAAAACTTCTTATGCCAAACCATTAAAATGCAATTAGATCACATAATAGCAAAGCAGGACCTAACAGTGTAATACTATATGTATGTCAAAACCAAAAGACCACAGGGTTGCGTCAGAGCCAAGTATGCAACCATAAGAAGTGCAAGGCCAGATGCTGACTGACTTGTCACTCATTTCTTTATGGTTAAGGAGGAGCAGCGTGCACACTCAGTCATAGCTGAGGATTTACACCAGAAAAAGATAACAAATCAAGTTTCTCTTACCTTGAAGGCGTACTGGGCGATGGTTTCAATTACTTCCTTAAAGGGCACTTTGGAGGTGAGAGTGTGGCCGTGGTAGATGACAGGTTCACCTTTATCTCCATCCCAGCAGTCCAGCTCCACACAGCGACAGCCATTATTCAGAGCCCTGACAGACGACAGACACAAACTTAACATCACGCCACAGGACGATCTTTGCGAGTAGGTTTCTGGAAGGATTAATGAAGAACATGAAGAGCTGTTTGATGGTGTTTGATGGGTCAGTGTCAAAGTACCTGATGTACGGCTCTGTGCTGCTGGCGCTGGTGACTTGGTCCTTGGTAAGGTAGGTGTTGTGCGACGAGGAGATGAAGTAGTGAGCCAGGGGGCGGCTCATGTCTTGATAGACTCTGGCGTGGTCGGGGTTAAACACATCGTTCTCCAGCGACAGCATGTACATGGTGAAACCATTCTGGGTCATGAACAGGTTCGTCTGAGCTGCAATAAATGGCAAAGTGTTTCCGTCAGGTCGCTCATCTTTTAGCAGGTTTACCAGCAAAACCGGAAAGAGTTTTGGTGCGTTCCACTTGAACCGGTCAGTCGGAATTTCTCAATTCATGGTCAGAAATTTCAACCGGTACGCCCCCTGAAGTCGGATTTCTGACACCTACACCTAACTCATAATCCAAGATGGCTGCTCAACAAAAATGGCAGCTGTAGTAATGTAGTTTGTCTGAACTTCTGTCTTATTTGTGTCTCATTAAATCAGTCGTACACAGAGATCTGTCCAACTTCTATTTGTGGACATGCTGTTATGGTGCTTATATGAGGAAAATCCTGTGTCAACTGGTATTGTTAACTATATGAACAATAAGGAAGCAACAACAATAGCAAGCTTCCGGTTTGTTTTACTGGAAAGCATTCAACTTGGGTGTGACATCATTCCCAGCTCCGACATCCAACAGCCAAGGTAAATAGAAGGCCTCATTTAATTAAAGGGTTTAAACAACATAAAACAGGACAAGGGTCGATGGTTGACAATCTAAGCCATGAGAAGGTTTATACTAAATCGCAGCTTCCTTTTCTCACAGGAATTGAGCTTAGGAACAAACAAAGTCATGTTTATTATTTATTTTGACATAATTAATTCTAAGCTGTTTGTCTCATTGTTGTGGTTGTTGTTTCTGTACTGCACTTCACTTGGCAGTCTACCAGTGCTGAAATCATTGCACACACTAGCTCCTTTATTCTATTTTTTACAATTTATAATAGTTATGTTTTCCAGATATGTACTTTTATATTATTTTCTTAATTTAAGAAAATTATGCATTTCTTGTTTTTATATTCAAATCAAATTCAAAGATTCTCTCTTACTCGACCGGACAGTCATCAAATCTTCCACTCATTTAGTTATAACAACCTCTTCCTTAAAGTGTGATTATGCAAAATATGAGAAAACAAATAATATAGTCTTCCACTAACAGTTTACAGTTGAACTCGTAATGCACCATTGCTCAAATCAATGCACTATTTGGCTTTGCTACAGCCTTCCTTTATTTTGATTACTTGGTCTGGTATGACCTAGGAACATTATTGACATTACGACTTTTGGTAGTAGTTTCGCATTTAGCATTATCTCAACAGTCATTAACCTGCTGACTGCAGATTTGTTTGTTATTATTTACTGTAGGTTGAAGAAATATATAAAACCTTTTTGGCCTTTTGTCTCAGTGATCATAGTTCATCTTTTATGTCTGTCTGTGAATGTTCTCATTCGTCCAGGTCATTGTTATCTCTCTCTCAAATTAAATCGAAGGCAACTGGACTTGTATTTGGCTGTGGAAGACGTTTCGCCTCTTATCCAAGCGGCTTCATCAGTTCAACTAAAACTACCATCAACTACCATCTTCAACTGATGAAGCCGCTTGGATAAGAGGCGAAACGTCTTCCACAGCCAAATACAAGTCCAGTTGCCTTCGATTTAATTTGAGAGAGAGATATCTTTTATGTCTTTTTTTTCATAAATCGCATAAAAATACATGTATATAAATATAAATATATTCTGTTAATCATGAATTTCCCCTGGGAGAAAATAAAGTATCTATCTATCTATCTATCTATCTATCTATCTATCTATCTATCTATCTATCTATCTATCTATCTATCTGATAAAAGCTTTCATGGGGTTAAGCTAAATCACTATTTCGTCAGTCGGCAGACGGCAGCTAGAGGGACATTCAGTGTTTATATTAAAATGTTGTGGGTTCTTCCTTCCAGTCCTTTAATGACTGTTTACAGGACCTACCCCAGTCATTGAGCTCATAGGTGTGTATGAGGCTCTGAGCATGATTCAGCGAGGCGTCCTCGCCTTGGTCTCCCAGGAAGTCGCGCAGCTCAGCAGTGGAGAGCACACAACCATTACTCGAATAGTGCCTGAACACGGCATCCAGCTCGGGCCGTCGCAGCAGCTCCCTGCAGAACTCCTCTATCTCTATATGATCTAGACGGCCATCGCCGGATCGGTCACACCTCTGGGACACAGAGGAGAGTGATGAGTTAAAGAAAGTCTAACAACAAATCGAACACACAGAGAGAAAGATAGACACATATCAAACACAGTCTGTTTTTGTTTTGGGAGTGTTTCATATTCCCTGCGGGGAAAGCATCTCCATAATAATTCAATCCATCTGTGCACACTTACATTAAAAAAATATGGCTCTCTAAGGAGGGTCAGTATTTGGAAATTGCATCGGGAAGGAGCATAAAAAACAACTATTCAGCTGTAATAGAGAGCTGGGGGACATAGCAGGCGGTAATCCCCCACAATAAAGAAATAACTGGCTCTTGATTTGTTGTGGGGAAGATAAGAAGGAGGGGATAAAGATGAAGGAAGAGGGGGTGGGGGGGTGGCGGCTTGCCGCTGGCTTGGTAATTGAACACAGACTCCAGAGTGTCAGTGGAGCGACAGTGATACCACCCTAACTAAGCAGAAGTGTGACCAGCTCTACATCTCTGTGCTTCTCCTCTCTGTCTTCTGACACTCGCACGCTCGTTCAGAATTCAGCTCATATGAATGACAAATTGCACTGATGTTGTACAGGCACTACAAACTAACACGACCCTGACCTTGAATAAACAGCGGGCATACTGCTCACTCAGGTCAATGTTGATCATCTGCAGCAGCCGTTTGACTTCATCGTAGCTCATCTTGCCGTCTTGGTTCTGATCCGCTCGCCTCAGGTAGCCTCGGATCCAAGTGCAGAGAGTTAAGGAATAAAAACCAGACTAAGACTTCAGACTTTAGTTTTTGGCTTCATGAAGTGCAGCGATGCACACAGATCTTACACATAGTGGGATTATGCATCCGTATGTGTGTGTTGTCGTCTAGGAGAGACATCACACACTCTTTGCTCTGTCGTATTGTGGCATTTCATTTATCGTATGATCGTACGTTATGTGCCAGTCAAATCTTTGACTCTGTACCTGTGACTAAGGGGTGTACTAATAAACATTTACCCTAATGTGTGCAAGCAGAAAGAAAAGTGACATTTAAAGGACAACTTTTACACATCAGTCTGTTTACAGTTGCTGGGGAGTACTACTGCACACGTGAATAAAAGTTGCATTGTGGGTAATGTAGGCATTATCTCTGATTCTACTGCCTCAGTTTTGATCCTTTTTTAAAAAAAAAAAAAAATAGTTAAAGGAGTGCCATGCTTAAACGGTGGAGTACTCTTTTAAATCAGGTGCTTTCCATAATTCAGGTTCAAAAATTTCACACATGGACAGTTTCACTTTGCACTAAACTATAAACAAATCAAAATGCAGATGTTTGGCCCCATATAGTGAAAGGCATAATCCACCGTCTGTCGATGCCAACGTTGTTTAACACTGTGATCTGATAGCTCCAAAAGCCAAGAGTTAAAACTGTTGCCTCAAAATCTCTTGAAATGAATCAAATGATAAGTTGTTTGTTTGTTCAGAGAGATGCATTCACACTTTTAATAACACCTCTTGTTTCTGTGCAGGTAGAATGCAATTATCCCTTTAGACAAAAGCATCTGCCAAATGGATATAATATAATGTCACTGTGTGAAAGAGTCAATAGCAACAACAGACTAATTTTACTCCACTGTGCAACACAGAGAGCCCACACCGTCACACTTTAAAATGTGCAAGATAAACATCACCTAAGCTACTGACAGTCTACAGAATGAAACATTATAAACAAGATGACATGACTGCATTTGACAAGATAATGTCCCTGATGATTTATATGTTCACAAAGCTAAAATGTTTCAGAAGTAAAGAGAGGAGGAGGGATTATCTTTATGTTATACTCTGCTTGATACCTACACTACACATATTATCCTCTGGCTATGAGGGATTGTAATTAACAGTGATAGTCCTGCTATATTTAGAGAGAGCATTTTTATCAAGTCATTACTGATCACCTTAGCTATGCTGTGGACGTGGGACGGCACATGTGACAGCGGAGTCAGTCGACATAGCAATGCTGCCTCAGCTACGCTATATTTATTCACTATAGTTATTTTAACATATTGGGAATTGGGCAGGATATTGGTCCAGTTTCTCCTTCTGAGTCATGTTGGCCACTCGCTCCTTTAACGTGCGGAGCCCTCGCACCCAGCGCTGGGCTTCAACCTCACAGGGGCACATCAGGTCCAGGCTCTTCCTGGCTCCCCTGAAGACCACTGTGAAGCACCGGTTATCCGGCACAGACCCGGACAGCCGCCTCAGCGCCTCGGACTGGCAGCCTTCGCGCACACACTCCACCTCTGTCACTGCGACTGGGAGAGGAAAAGAGAAGAAGAGAGTTATGGCTAAAAACGTTCTTGTGTTGTTGGGCTTTGGCTGGACAACAGCTCATGGAGGCAGAGCGGCTAAAGGTCAAATGTGAGGTGTTTTTTAGGGAATCATAAATCCCACCAAGGACAGCGTCATAGCAATGTGATTGTAAAATATAACACGCCATATAGTTGAACTATCCACTGAACAGGGTTCTCAACAGGATAAATTTAACCTGCAGCTTTATGACTTTAACAGCGCACAAACTGACCAGCAAGTGAAAGCTGGACCTTCTGTTTGTGCCTGTCATCCCATCAGCCATTAAGCCTGTTATTTTTTCATAAAAAGCAACTTCACTGCCTCATCCTGCCTTTGTGTCTGCATTTGGGTCCTTTCCTCTTGTGTTCTTGGCTTCAGTCATAACAGGACATATTATATATTGTTTGAAAGCTCTAGGTCTCCTGATTCTGTTTGTGCAAAGTATTTTAGGATGCCTATATCACAGACCCCACCCCTCTACATTAAAGTGTTTGGCACATATATGGTACTAGTACTGCAGGCTTTATTATCCCAAAAATGCCAAAAACTAAACTTTGTTTCTGCTTCTGTAACTTGGTCCAGTATCTCTTATACTCATTCAGATTTTTTGGTTGTAAAATTTAAAGAGTTACCTTTCAAAGGAGACCTGGGTTGTGACTATAATCTGAAGCGCTGAAGAAGTGTAACCTTTTATTTTTTCGGTACATTATTTTCAGGCTTCTGAACAAAAAATGGGAGCATCTGGCTACAGGTTAAGCACATATAAAGTTGTGTATATTAGCATGCTAACATTTACAACATTTAACGTTTTGCAGGTATTTATTCATAAACCGAAACAGAGTTGCAACTTTTAGTCAATCAATCTATAAGTTGACGGAAAGAAAATGAACTCTTTTGAGCATTGATTACTTGTTTCGCTAATTCTTCAAACAAAAAAAAAAACAAACTAATATTTGCTGGTTCCAGCTTCTCAAATGCGGCGACTTAATTTTGTTTATTTATGATACATGACAGTAATTCATTTATTTATTTCGTTTTGGGCTGTTGTCCGGAGAAAAGCTATTTAAAGATATCTCCAGGAAGATGTGATGGATTTTCACTATGTTTTGATGCTTCATAGATTAAATGATTAATGAAAGAGTAATCAAAACAATAATTGTTTTTGTTGATTAAGCGCTGATGAAACAATTCTTAGTTTCAGCCGTAAACCAAAGGTAAAGATTTCAATTTTCATCTGATGATGATGGTGCTGGATTAAAACTCAAGAGGATTCATCCTCTTAGGACCATGAATGTCTGTAGCACATTAATCCATCCAGCAGTGGTTCAGAGTTTGACTTCCCTGTCGGTTACTGAACAGTTTTCAGCCTTCCTGTGTCTGCTAAAGGAGAATCATTCTTTGAAAGGACTGGGCACCACCATGCAAATATATATACATCCTCTAATGGGAGGTTTTGTGTGGGTCTGATTTTGTCTGAGGAGTCAGAGTCCAAAAAGGGGTGTGAAATACAACTGTGTGATCTGTTTATCTCATATTTGCAGAGCTGTGAGTCCGGGCAACACTTGCTGCCCAGAAGCGACAGCCAAACACACACACACACACACACACACACACACACACACACTGGCTCCTAACTGATCCTGACACAACAAGTTTGTTGTGCACAGGAGCTCGTCTGTTTCTGCTCTGGGATGCCTGCAGTGTGGCGATCACTCTGTCAGGCAATAAGCAACGTCTGCTCTGACAATAGCCTCATTCTTTTGCTGGAGGTCGTAAAAGCCTCTGCTGTCCACCTCTTCAAAATTACTCCACATTCCTCCTTTTGTTTTCTATCCCAGAGCCACGACAAAAGTAACATGTATGTGTGTCCATGGGTAGAGAGGAACAGCAGAAATGCTAAGTGCCGTACTCGATGCCAAGTATCTCTGAGCATGAGACACTGAACTGCAGGTGTCAGATCACACTGGACCTGGAGAAGAGCTTGGAAAAGAGGAACCGAGCCAAGACTCCACCCAGGGCTGTCACACACACACACACACACACACACACACACACACACACACACACACACACACACACACACACACACACACACACATATATACTCAGCAGCCTGCCCATGTGGCATTATCAGTCCCTGTCTGCAAAAATCATGACCCTGTGCTCTCACAGCTTGTTGTCATCATTGTAAGAAGTGTTACACGCTGCAACTCGACCACTCTGTCTATTTCTGGCACGGCTGCAGCACAATCAAGACAGCCTTCACCACCCACTGACCCACAAAACTTGCCCACCGACCCACCCGCCCGCTCCGTTAAGGCTAGCGGGGGTTAGCATTAGGGAGACTGATCGCCTGCTGACACGTTTCCACCTTTAACCCCCTTTCACTAAATCGACATTACAAAACAAGATTTAGCTGGAAACATTTGAAATGCAATGTAAATGTAAGATTAAATAAATCTTTTAATCTCTTTGTTTAAATAAGGAAAATATGAGGCAGTGAAAAGCCTCGGCTGAGGTTACAAGAGCTTATTTGTTCCTCTTAAACCACCATCTTCTCAGCATGTATATCATTGTAGGCTGTCTTCCTGTTTTATTTGCTCTTCCTGACATTTGTTTCCCTGTAATTTAGGCCACTGGTGTAACTCTGAGAGGCTGTAACAGTGAGCACTAACAAGATATGTGTCCTACACCTGGATGCAACTTCCCACCACAGCTGGAACAGGACGTAAAGTTTAAATCAATTGGTGCAGTTAGACATGAATAATGCGTGAGTCCTGAAAGGACATACAATGTAAATCAAGTTCTTCTGTCACCACGACTTCCTCACTGAGAACAAATGTGCATTTACACTTTAATTATTAGCCTCATGCCTGATGCCTTAAATACTCCAGAGGGGGAAATATAACATCACCAATTACTCTCACAAAACAGCATTTAAACAGCTTGTCATTTTAATCTAGGAAAACTAATCTTGTGTTTCACATTGTATTAATACAGGGTTTACCATTATCAGACTTAGTCTAAGGGCCTAATGAATGAATGGAAAAAACTATGCTGAGAGAGAGGGGGGATAATGAATCGGACAGAATATAAGAAACATGCACAATAACAAATAAGGAATGAAAAAATAAAGGTTGTCTAATATTTGAGGACGGGACGATGTTCATTACATCACATATTCTTTTTGAACAGAGAGAGTACAAGTGTAACTATGGTCATGCCATTAAGCTTTGTTTTCAGCCTTAATGTTGCTAGGCTAGCAAGTGTTTGTAGTTTCTGCTCATAGGCCTACAGCCCTAAAAGTGTTTCATGAGCCCAGTGTAACCTGAAGGTGTGTCTGAAGGCTGGTGTTAAATAAAATGACTGACAACAAGTTCATAGCGTCTCGTCATCTTGGCTGCAGAAATGAACCAGGGAGAAAATCTGTCCAACAGCTAAGAATTAAAGTTGTCACAGATGATGAGCTCAAAAAGACTGAAAGACGTTTAGTGTCAGAGAAAATTATTCTGAGAGAGGAATGAGATCTGGTTAGTGGCTACACCCACTGAGAGAGTGAGCTGTCCAAAGAACTATTGGTAAATAGCCTGTTACATTGTCAAAGATCTCCTGCGAGGATGAGAAAATCTAGTTCAAATCCAGTGTTATTTTGTATGGTGCACAGTGCGATCCCTTACGAAACTGCGAAGGATTACTTCAACAGTGAACATATTTGTTTCACTTTTCTTCTTGGAAAAGGTAACAGTACAAAATGGTGTGAAAATGCAATTTTTAGTCTCAATTTCTTTTTGCCCACTGGAAACCTAAGGAAAAGTCATCTAAGTTATAGATGCACAAGTGAATGGGAAAACATTTTCACTGTGCACTTTCAGCCGACTGTAAGCCCGAGCACTAGTGAAGCAAACTGCATTTAAAACCTGTGTTGGTTTCTTCCTAATTTTTGTTTCTGTTTTCTGATGGAAACCATTAAACTCTCCTTGTTTTGCATTGTTTCCCCTTTTTCTTCCCGTGTAGAAATTTAAACAGGAGGAAAAAGAAATTCTTGTCACTGCTAAGGAATAGGCATCGATGTGCTTCCTCCTACACCAACAACGTTTTCACGCGTTCTCCTACATGCCCCTCATTCACCCCAAAAAATGAGCGTCAGTTCAGCCAAATTATTAATGAATCTAAATTTCCCACTGACAGTGAGGTCTGTGGATTATTCCAAGTGGGAGAAAACTTTCTGTTTTGTTAGGCAGGTGCGTAGGAACAGGATGAGGATCCAAAGTGGCAATCAAAAAAGCCATTTGCCTGATGAAGGTCTAGGACAGAAACGTGGCAATAAATTGTTTGCTGCAAGCTAGACAGTGTGCGGGATTTTTTGATTACCACTTTGGATACAAGTCACCTGAAAATCTTTTCTGTGAAGGCACAGCATTATATGGTTTTTCAGATGTAATTTTGTGCTTTAAGCACCACTAACAAAATCCCATTCAGCTCCACTGAAACCAGGGTGGTGGAAAAAGTCTCAGCAGCTGAGATTTCAAAAACTTGGCAAATAAAGCTGAAACTATTTGCTATGGCTTCACACCACCAGGGCTAAGTAGGAATATTTTTGTGCAAATTTGGGTGACCTGACCATTTGATGTATTTCGTGCCTTCTAATTCATCTTTGACCAGATTTGTAAATCATGTATACAAAAAGAGCTTAGAAAAAGATTAGAAAAAAAAATAAGACAGGATATCTTCCACAGTTCACTCTCTGTACACTGTGGGAACTGATGTCATTACTGAGCTCATACCAACTTCACCTTCTGAATCATACGTTACATGTCACCTCAGCACAGCAGAAGTGAGCCAGCATATTGTCTCTGTCCCTTCACAAGTCTACGTATATGTTTGTTTTGAAATCGTACATAAATCAGACACGATCAGTAGTCAGTCAGGCTGCGAACCCACGATTATTCTCTTCGCTCACCAAGGAAACAAGCAAACCCTTTAACGTTGATGAAAGTATATGAAGTAGAGCCAAGATAAAACAGCTCAACAACTCTAAACAATAAACAGGCTGAATGGTTGCACTGACTCACATCCTGGTATGTAGTGGACTGGACTGCAAGGCCTGCCTGTCCTTAGATGTGTTTCCCTCCAGGCAAAGATCTTTTTCTCCATATCTGATGTTGCTTAAGTTTCCTCTCTTTTCATCACAGAAGAGTAATTGCAATGCATGAATGCTCTCACTTTCGCTGCTCAGTAAACCACCTCACTTCTCATAACTAACTCCCTTTTGGTCCTTTGCCTCTTTTCCTTAAAACCCTCCCTCCTGAGTCTCCTCAAACCAGGCCACACACAATCTGAGCTCTGTTTACCGCACCTCCACGACCTTAAAGCCAAGTTTCAATCACACTCACACGTCTGCTGGGCTTTGGCTTTGCGGGAGCTCTTGGTGGACTCGCACCACACGGTGAGTCCGTCCTCCAGCAGCCGCAGGTTTCGGCTCTTCTGCCACCTCGGGGAGCGAACTTTCACCATGTTGCAGCCCTGCATCATCGTGCGTATGTCCTCGTTGTCCAGGAGCCCTGGTGAATGAGCACACACAATGACACAAAATGGGAAGTTTTTTTAATGTAAAAATAAAGTGTTATTCAGTTTCACAACGTGTCACTACATCATCACGGAGTTCAGTTTGACTTTGTAATGAGGTTCATCAGAAGGTCATAACTGCCCATCTTTCCTGACTATCTTGTGACAATGATGTCGATATTACAGAAAAACACATACAAAATTACAAGATTTATTTGATCCTGTGAGTCAGGTTAACATCAGAGACCAAGGTGTGATACATCTGCTTATTAAAATACCACTTCACCAAACTTCAAGATTGTTTTTCCCTGACTAACTCTCATTCAACAGCAACATTTCCCTGAAAACAAACCTTGCTGGCTGACCTCACATATATAGTCAACACCTTTCTGCTTATACCCTAAACCTGAATTTGTGTTTTATATACAAACCTTGGAGAAAATGACCAGTGATTTAGACAAAGTGTGCGGCATTAAGCTGTCAGGGACCGTCTTGAAAAGTGACTTAACAAAGTGTGTTTTCTTCCAGTCTAGACTTCAGAAAAATGACTGTAAGTTCACACTGAGACGTAACTCAGTAATGATAATTTGTAGATTTATGTCTCTCTTGGGGCAGGAGCAGGCCAGCAGGCAGCAGAAAAGGAGGCTGTTAAACTAGTTGCAGTATGGAAAGTGTTTTTCTGGCTGTATTGTTCCTGCTAGTTCTTCCTAACTGTTCCAATCAATGGAAATTGAATCAAAAATTACTCAAGCACAGTTTCTTAGAAAAACGCAGACCCTCAGAACGGAGGCATGCATCATCGTTTGTTGTGAGCACTGAAAGGATCGAGGGGTGTTATGGGGGAAAATAAAAGATGAAGGCGTAAGTTTAAGGGATGTATAGACATGGTGAATACATAATACAGGTTTAAATTGAGAGTAAGTTGAAGCTGAGGTGTTTGGATTCACTGCAACACAGAGATGAAAACAAGTAACAATGCACTGTTTGCTGCATGAGTTATATCTGGTAAAAAAGAAGAAGAGAAAGAAAGGTTTTATGATCACAAAGCCACATGTTTGCGCAAGAAATTCTTTTGAATTTACAAGTACAAAGCCATGAACTACATTCAGCTGAGTTCAGCTTCACAATCCTGAGGGTTTTTTATATCATTGTACTGAATATTTTTGGGTTTTGGACGGTTGATTGGAGAAAACCAACAGTCCAAATGTCCCGTTGGCATCTGGGAAATCATGTTTTTTTTTTTTTACACTTCTCTGACATTTTATCGACGAAACTTACTTGATTAATGGTGAAAATAATCGACAGATTAATCGACAATGAACAAAATCGTTAGTCGCGGCTCTAGTGTAAAGCTACTGCTGACTTTGGACTGTAGAAAGTTTACACAGCCGTTTCTCTGACTCCAGCTCTAATGGTTCAAACATGACAGATCCACAGAGGGCTCACGGTACAATCCAATACTGTCGAGTGGACATTTCTGCATGTACAGACGTTACGAGGGCAAACCTACATCAGTGTACAAACCAGAGGCAAACATGCAATGATCTAAAACTCGCTCAACTTTTTCTGAATATTACAGAAATATTTTTTGTAGAGGTTTGGACTTCTTCAGGCTGAAACTACGATTTTCATTATCAATTAATCAGGCAATTATTTTCTGGAACAATTTATTAATCAGTTGGTAATAAAATGAAAAAAACAATAAAACTGTGAACAATGCCCATGTCCAGCAACTTAAGTGATTAATTACTGGATATTTTATTACTATCTTAATGAACAAGCTTTTTCTTATGTAATTATTTCAATGAATTTACTGCTACATCTTCAACTTGTTTTGTATTTTTGGTCATTTTTGCATTTATGTGACAGCCAGCAGGAGTTTTCAGCAAATTAGTGGAGAGTGGCTGACAATATAACAATGGTCTCCTGCCAAGATTGATCAGGGACAGGTACACATAATTATAAAATAATGAGTATGAAAACATTCAAACATTCAGGCTCAAAACTGGTGCGAAGGTTTTGAATAATGCAAATTCACGTTTTGCATGATGGTGTAAAATGTGTCACAAAATGTACTGCTAAAATAATGTCACGAGTAAGTATTAAAAACTACAAATCTGTGTTACAGCAAACTGCTTTGAAGCTTATGACAGAATAATGCGACCACAGTTTTACAGTACAAGTATCAATAAAGGACACAGAGCTATTTGTCACAGAGTGGTGCAGGGAATGTGGCAGGAAGGGCATATATGTGAAAGTTATACTGAAAACAAAAAAGTCCCAGAGAACCTACAGCGCCCGAGAAAGATGCCCTGGCTTCGCTGTGGGCACTTCAGTATGTCGAGGTGTATGTTAGATCTTCTTTGCGATCTCTAGTTGGTTACATCCATAATCCTTTGGTGTTTCTCCATCGCATGTATAACAGCAACCAGAGGTTAATGTGCTGGGCCAACAAAGCACCTGTGTTGGCTTGTGGGGTGAGCCCTTTGTTCAGTTTTCTCTCTCTTTGCCACCCTGCTGCAGCAGCACCTTTGGGGCGCTTGATAGTTGCTTTTCATTCATTTATTCATCTACTTCAATTACTATTCATGCAGTAAACTTCTACCTTGGCGCTGTGTCCATTATTATGTGTGGTGTTTGAGCCAGTCGTAATTGGAACGAGCTCCCATCGTTATGTTACAGCTGGATCTGACACCGAACATAATAATGGACACAGCACTGGGGTAGAAGTTTACTGCATGAATATTTATCTATTATATATAGGCACAGCCCACAAGCCAGCACAGGTGCTTGTCAATCAGCTGGAAACAGGAAACATCAAAACAAAACGGGATGTAATGGCTTCCTTTGCTGGGATAAATGGGTCCTCTCACGTAGCTGTTATCACTTTATCTTTCCAAGGAGAAGTACAAACAAACTCTTAGTCTTGTCAAATTATTCAGACACTGTTGGAGTACTTTCTTTATTTTTCCCCTAGTTCAGTCCACATACTGTCAGTGCCAAATGGCTGACAGAGTTCCTTAGAGGGCCCCCAAAGCTACAGTACTACAGACACTGTTCCCACCCCCCATCCTCCCACCCCACCCCCACCCCCAACCAGAAACTGGGTGCAGCTGAGACTTTCTCCCCATTAGGATCGAACACAAAGAAATCCCCCTTCCAGCCCTCCATCCATAACAACCATGTTTTCCCTAGCTGTTACCACATGCAAGGCATTCCCACACGCAGAGCACAAGGACCTGATTAACTGCAGGTCATTGGCCATGCTATGCTGCCCAAAAAGCCTTAACTGCCTCTGACTCAACCCACTGCTCCACTTTATCATTGACTCTCCAGCCTCGACCACATTCTTGCTCTCCTACCTGCATCGTTTCAAAATCTAACCGGGACAGAGCAAGAGAGAACAAGTCTGCAAGCATGGGCAAATCCACAGTTTACCACAGTTCATTTAAACAGAAGCACATTCACATTTTGATACACTGCATGCTCGTGAAAGCCTCTTCATAAGTGTGTAAATGAAGGGACGGGCATGATTCTTCAAGCTTGAGCGCTGCACCCTGTTTTCTTTTCATCGTCTCCTGCAGAAAATCTGGTTGACATCCACTTCATCACATGGTCAAAGCCCTGCATGCCAACTAGCTAGCAACCATGCTGATGTATTCTAATGCAAACATTGCAACACAGCACAGAGGGAAAAATAGAGAAGCAGCAGAATTAGCAATGTTAGAGAGGGAAGAAAGTTAAACCAAGAGCCTACAGCCATGCTAGCAGATCTGTGAGGCTGTACCTAGGCAGAGAGATACTTTGAGTTAAATGCTAATGTCAACATGCTAACACGCTAATAATGCTTACATCTTGATGTTTAGCAGTTAAAATGTTTATAATTTACCATCTGAGTTTAGTGAGTTAGCATGCTAACATTTGCTAAGTAGCACTAAACACAAAGTACAGCTGAGGCTGATGAAAATGTCATTAGTTTTGAAGGTATTTGGTCCTAAACTAACCTACCAGACAAATTAAAAGTTTGATTTAATGATGGTGCTAAATGAAAAGTAAACCACTCTAGCAGCTCTATGACTTTGCACAGCAGTGGTTTGAGCTAAATGCTAACATTAGCATTCAAACATGCTCACAATGGCAAAGCTACTATGTGGATGTTAAGTGGATATAATGTTTACCATGTCCACAATCTTAGCGTGTTAGCATTGTAACATTTGCTAGCTGTACAAAGAAAGTACAGCTGAGGCTGATGGGAATGTTTTGCAGGTATAAGTTGGTCATAAACCAAAGTGCTGGACAGGTATGTATGTTTGTATATAGCCTATGTATGTATGTATATATGTGTAACAATGTCATGACCATAAAGTCAGGAAATCCCAACAGTCAGTACAATTGATCATCTGGGAAACTATAGGTCTGTGCAAAATTTGGTGCCAATCCATCCAGTCAATGTTGAGATATTTCACAAGAGAGAAAGGTTTGACCTGGTGATTGTGCTACCGGAAAGTAGGACTCATCTTCTGGCGACCATGAATGTATGTGCAAAATCTTACTGGAAATACATCTCATTGTTACTGAGCCATTTCAGACTGGACAAAAGTGGTGAACCGACCAACAGACCGACATTGCCGTTTCTAAAGCATCTCACTAGCATGGCTGAAGAACTGCAAAACTGTTAAATAACAAACAGCTCCATGTGTGAACAACTGACTCAAAACAAGAAGGAAAAAGGGGCCTCTGCTGGATCGGCAGTGAGAAAACAATAAACACTCTAATGAAACCCATAAGGCATATTTCTCCAAGGGTATTATCAACACATGTGAGCAGCGGAGGAGCCTCCAAGACAAGAGGAAGATCAAAAAGAAAATAACCATATCAGCTGGTCAGTAATAGATTGTGCCTGCATGAGTCCTCTTCACTCAGGCTCACACATACCAGCTCCTCCCGGGTCACGGTTCACGTTTCTCTCAGGATAACAACTGTCACAAGAGCGAGCTGGCGAGATCATACACTTGCATAAAGATAGACAAGTTAAGGTGTCGTTAATATGAAATGGTAGATGGGCCAATTAAAGTTTCTCAATTCTGTAGCACAGCTGTCCCCAGGAGACGGCAAGTAGGGCAGTCCAGTCTGCATCTCTTAATACAAGGCCCACTGTGTTGAAGGTAATTTGGAGTTGTGACTCTCAGCGGCATCGGCTGATCTGAGAACAGATGCCACAGAAAAAGGATTAGAAGCACACTGAGTGTTATTTTGAAATGCAGAATTAGAGCCAATTACAGATTTTTTTTTGGGGACAGCGCAGAGCTGAACATGAAAGCCATGCAGCCTCTTTGTATTCACTTGGAAATAAGCAGCTCTCAGTCATTCACTCTCTTTGTCTTTCATAATAAATGATGCATCATTTATTTGCTCATTAATTAACAAGATATGACCACACAGAGAGGAGCCCATAAACACAATGAGAACACAGCTATCACAACTTTAATATCTGGATTGTGAAATAATTACCATTGTTAATGAGATAGTTATAAATTGAACATTTAACTTCTATAATTTCACCTAAATAAAAGACATAAATACATATTAAACAAATGTATGACCCTGAATTATAAGTTGCATCTGACTTATCTTATTTGGAAGCCAAACATATTTAGTTGCTGAGATTCCTCCTCTGGCTCCTGAGGTTGGCAGATTCAAAAATATTCAGCAGGAAACCAGATTGTGTGAGTTGTTAGGTTTGGTAAAAGAGCAAACTGCAAACTGAGCAAACCTCTTTTCTTTTGAACTGTTCAAACTACGATGATTTAAATATTCTGGTGTACAGATGTTCAAAAACAGGAATGCTTCTTTGATTTTGATGCGTTACATTTTGCTAGGTAAAAGTCAGAAAAGTAGGGGAAGAGGCAGTTTTCTAAAGAATTGTAATCATACGGTGCATGTTGTGTTAGTTATTCATGAATTTTAGTTGTACACATGAAGGACTACAAATCTAATATTCTTTTAAATTTTTCTTTTCTTGTCAAAACCAGATATGTAGAAAAGTCACTTTGCAACAAACTAGGTCTACACATTTCATAAAGGTGACAAATGCAGAAATAACAATAAATCACTGTAATGTACAATGCACAATGTAATTACTCAAAAGGAAATTAGACATATTCACCAACTAGTGAGTCAGAGAAAGAAATGCACAGTGTGCTAGAGAACATAGTGATGTTAATTACTTATGTTTGGGCTCAAGAGATCCCACAGAGCTTATTAACAATTTGTAATACAACTCCAATCGGACATTTAGATACACTCATTTGGGATTTAGGAGGGTTAGTGCTGCTAAAAAGATCTGTTACCAATCACAGACACAGAGCATATAAAAATCCATTGTATGTAACCGTGTGTAAATGGTTGTGTTAATGTGTTAATTTGGTTGTCTCTATTTTTGGCTCTTTGTGTTGTTTGAAAATGCACATGCAGGATTCTGGATCTGGTTTTATGTGAATTTGTGGTGTCTTGTAAGCACGTGTGGGATGTACACATTTGTATTCAATAAAGACCGCAGGCATTCATTCATACATTTTAGCAAAAACAGCTGATGTTGACTGTTTCCCAAAGCAAATACACTCATCCTATAGGTGCAATCTGTGGACTCCTACACTAGCTCCAGTCCAAACCCACAGAAACAAGTCATGGGTGTTGTTTGCTTAAATCCAAAGCATACACAGTCTAGCTGTTTGTTTTAACAAGAAACCAACTGCTGTGTCCCACTGTCACAGAGCTCCAGAGTTAACAGCACTGCCGACAGCCTCGGACTCTCTCTGAAATCAAATCCACAACCCCCCCCCCCCCCCCCCCCCCCCCCCCCCCCCCCCCCCGGGGAGGTCTGTGGCGACTATAATTATCAATGTGCACCTTTCTGATTCCGACATGGATTATCTGAAAACTAACAAATCTCAGACTCACAGGCCACATTCATCTCTGAGAAAAAGGCTTAAAGTAAGTGAGAAATATTTAAAGAAATAAGTGGGACTAGTCCTGTGACACCACATGACACCAAATCCCTGAACTCACGCTTTTCTTTTCTATGTGGCAGAACTATGTGCTGTTTTCCATCTGATGTGGGATTAAAAAACACGGCTGAGACACGGTGGGTTGAAGGCCACTCCACTGATTTATAACGACACATGGCAGTAAAGGGTCAGGGGTGGGGTGGTGACCTCACTGGCTTCATTATTCAGTATTAGCAGGATGCTCAAATATAGCATTGACAGTTGCGCGTTACATTTTCAGGCAGAGAGATACAGTTTCATAACTCTAGCAACAGTAATGCTTAAACAAGTGTCTGCATAGTGTCAGAGTTTTGGCATAATCTGCTGTGTCAAAGCCGGAGTCTGGATCCCAGCACACATACACACACTGCTGTAAAAGCATTACAGAGCAGGAGTTCAGCTCTCCTGAATTAAATGTTTGAAGCAGGAATTTTACCTGAAGGCCAAACTGAACACTGATAACCTGTTACAGAAAAGAAATAGGCAACAGATATATTAAAGTTGTTTAAGTAAAGTGATTATTTATTAGAACATTTCGGGAGTTAGTATATTTGTTTAAAAAGCTTTTTTCAATTTTTTTTTATGTCATGCTGATTACTTAACATAATATAAGGCTGAAGAGCATGAGAAAAATACCTGAATTTAATACTAAATTACTCGCTGCGTACACATTTTACAGTTGTTTGGTACAAATGGGTCAAATGACATCCACAGCATCAACAGTGATCCAGAGTCTTTTCAGAGATTCTGACAGGTGCTGTGTCTCTGCTCAGCAGGTGTCTATTTTGGGGCAAGGTGTGACTGTTGCTTAAGAGGGCTTGTGTGAAGGGGCAGTGTAGGACTGACAGGGAGTAGGCTGCATGGGGTGGGAATGGGGCCTGAATCACACCAGCGACCCAATGAACTGCTAGGCTTTTCATAAACACATGATCACTTCTTGCACACCCACACACACACACACACACAAACACACACACACACACACACACACACACACACACACACACACACAGAACTCCGTTTGGTGTGTCAGTGTGTGAGCTGTCATTTTCTGATGATTAAGAGCAAACTCATGTCAGTTTAAATGAAAGCTGCTGGACATCTGTCTTACAGTGTTTTCTCTAGAAATACACTCCATGACTTAATCTTTGAAGTTAGGGTAAAATGAGGTAACTTGGTCACAAGCACCAGCCAGACAATAAATACAACTCTCAGTTTTAAATCATACAAACAATATCCATCAGATAAGCAACTGAGTCTTTACAGTAAGAAAAGGAAAATGCAAAATTCGAACAATACTTACACAAATGTTATATCCAGGGTCCTGATTACACAAAATACAAAAATGTCATGATAAAAGCCTTTTTTTTATCACTACTAAGAGGTATCACTTTAACTCCATGCTGTTTTTTTATGTGAATATTAAAAACACTATGGACCTATGGTGTGGTGATATAACAAAGATTACAAAGTTTGACTAAGCCCTTGTGAACTCAGATAAGTTCATATCAAGAACGTCAAGTGAACCCTGAGGCAAATACCACAGGAGAGAAACGCCACAGATACACATTCACCGAACGTCTTTATATTAATCTGACTGTGTTTCTCGGGCTGGTGGAGGTTGTTCGCTCAACTTGCGCATAAAAGTTCGCAGGCTTCCTTACCGAGCCTCCTGATGGAGTCCGTCGTCTTCTCGGCCACTTTCCTGCTCTGCTCCCTGGGACTGGTGGCCGGTGACTTGCCGCTGCCTAACATTATTGCAACTTACGGAAACTCCAGCGAAAATGAATGCGGGCTACTCAAAGCTTGCCGCGTTGAATCGGGGTCGACAGTGCGAAGTTCGGAGGGTGCAGGTGTCTTCACGCAAACTCGGATTTTGTGCTGCCCCAAAAAGACCCCGACAGTTATTCCTTTTCCACATGTAAAAAGTCCCTCCCCGGCGCGGCGCTCCATGCTCGTGCGTAATATGACTCCAAACAAGGCGCACACTTTACGCACCCCCACCTCCTAGTTGAACACAGGCGAGGTGAATCACATTAAGTCCTCCTGCTTAATATATGCTGACACATTTATTAAACTTCCTCAAAGCTCATTAAACTCTGAGTTGTTCAGCGTTGATCAGATTATTAAAAACACACAGTAAAACGACTCGTGATTTTCTCTTTTCTGCATTAGATTATTTAGGTTATTTTGATAGAGCTCTATGGATCCCTGTGCCTTTGCTCTTCATCAGCATGGAAATCTTCAAAGTTTAAATGCGGTGGAGCAGACATACAGTAGACACTTCTATTTCTCCAGAGCTCCAAGGGAAAGGTGTTTCAGTACAGAAGAATAAATAATCACAAGTCATATTCTCCTCATTAGAATAATCGTGTGCACTGTAAGATTTTGGGCTCATAAAGGTAAAAGCGTGGCATATAAAACATTTGAAGGATAGTATTTCCCCGACTAACACCACCCACCATGTGACACAAACTCCTTTAAGGTAAAAAAAAAAAAAAAGACAACTGAAAACATGACTTATGTTTGTATGAGTACTGATGTCCACTCCTAGGTCATAAGTTGCCAGTTGTCTGACTGCCATTGCATCAGGGTGGCATGTAACAGCTGAAGTCTTTTCATCCAGGCGAGGTTACAAACACATGCGGATACTTGGGCCATTGGCTGTTTCACAGAAAATATGAAAAACAAGTGAGAATGAATACATTTCTTTTCTCTCAAAAAGTACTGGTCACAGAGCAAAGGCAGAAAAAAAACCCTTTGCTACCGTGTCGATGAATTGGAGCACAGCGCCTCCCGTTGGTTGTTTAAAGTAACTGCGTAAATCTCAACAACAACAATCAATTCTGTAACGTCAAATTCATCTTCTAAGGCCGGATGTATGTGCATGCTGTGCAAATGCATCTAAATGCTGATGTGCTGTGTGAGAGAGGAAACTTAGACCCGTTTTTTTTTTTTTTTTTTTTTGTGACTGGATGGAGAGGTGCCCACAGTACCAGAGCACTGGCTGGAAACTCAATTAAGTCTTTGTAATGGAGTTATAACAGAGAGCAGAGCGGGACAGAGCTCAGCTGGGCGGTCCTGTCAGGGAGAGAATAAAATGTGATCATCCTTGATCCACAACCATCCACACATGGGATTGTGAGCATGCACACACACTCAAATAAACAGGTTTGGTGGGGTGGGTGGAGTGTGCTTAAAGTGATATGTTTCTTTCACTCAGTCATTTAATGTAGCTGGTGGATCCAGTGTTAGCCTCTCACTGGTCACATTCTTGGAAAAAAAAAAAAAGAACAATTTGGACATGCTGTCTTCATGAAAATCTAAAAAGCACAGCCCTCCTGTGTTTGGATGGATATCAGCCAATTCTTAAATTTACACTTTAAGGCCATGCGAAGGCCTATAACAATTTCTATCTTTCATCTCTTCTCAATTGCAGCAACAACCACGTTAGACAGGGTGAGAGATTAAGTCATGCCTGCTAATCCTCACAAGCTGTGATCTATGCAGGAGCAGCTTTGGTTCTGTAGCTGCACCCTTCCTTGATTTGAGAATATGGGAACCCTTAGTATGATTTCTCAATCTCCATGGTCATTAGGTTTCATATTAACTGGAACATATCACCTCTTCCTCAAAGGACTCCCAGCTCAGCTTTCTTATTTGCCAGAGCAGAAACTCTGTCTGCTTCTATTAGTAGAAACAGTAGGCCTGTGTTGTTTGAAGCCTCTGGATTCCCAGTCTTTACAAGCGATGTTAGGAGAGACCAGTTACTGTGAGAGGTCACAGACTGAACAACACATTTCTTCCATTAACTGATACACAGAGCTAGGTGAAAACTGAACAAAGTGTATGTGTGTACATGATATGGTCAAGAATACAAAGTTAAGGATGAAGTCAGTGTATTGACTAACTCCTTTACAGTGAACAGACACTGTGTGCAAATAGATCCCCAATATGTATATGTTAAGAATGTGCAATAGAACAGAACAATACAAAACCAATATTAAGCTATTTATATTCCATAACAAGACTGTCATATTTCAAACAATAATTTAGTTCAGCAGTTTATTTTACACAAATAGTCAATAGTTATGAAAAAAATAATGGACAGTGTTTGAGTAAATTGTTAGTTTGGCGTGTGAAACCCAACTAGAGCTTAGTAACTAGCAGTAAACTAAAGGAAAGCCTCAGTGCTGCCTTGCAAGATCAGGGACTGTCTACTTCCTGAAACTGATATAGTTAATCGAGGGTTTCACATCACGGATTAATACGAACAAGAGCTGTTTTTAAGTGTCTTTATGTATTTTTACAGGGTGTTGCCTATATCGCCCCGAGAGAAAGTCGTAATACAAATGTAAAAATTAATCGCAATTGTGTAATAGAGAACTCAAGGGAAACGTTACTCTCCAGCAATTACGCCGACCCAGTATACACACTGGCCTAGTTAGCAGAAGGCTAACGTTAGCAATTTCTGTAGCTTGTGATATTATTTAGTTTGTTACGTGTTCGCCGTAGCTGTACTGTCAAATGGACGAGGAAACATTTTGTTAGAAATTAACCTGCTGCTCATTGTTTATTAACTTTTTCCACGCTACACCATGGCATAAGCTAGTTAGCATTAGCTAGCATAGCTTTATCTGCTATATGGCGTTTTTCGTTTCACTGGTCCTGGCTAGAAGCTATCTCTGTGAAATATCGTGCCCAAGCGTTACGTTTATTTTGGTTATAGTGCGTATGAATTCACACTTTATGGATGCTTTATGATGAAGTGTTTAGTTTTGGAGCGACACCACAGCGCTCACTTGCTAACTAACGTTAACATTTGGCTAACGTTAGCTAGCTATCTTATCCTTAGCTGTTAACACGATACAACAGTGTAAAACTAACACTGCATATCAGCGCATGGGTTGCGAAGAAATACTCAAAACTGATCTACACCACTCTGTCCACTGGCAACTTGATTATTGAGCAAGTGTGAGATCGCCTGACCCACCCTTAACAACGAGGGGCTCGGAGCTGTGCTCTCTGCGGCAGCTTCACAATAACTATCGTTTGTTTACGCTGATTCCAGAGTTCTCCCAAGCCCCTGCCCCTCGACGTATCACTCCGCACAACACACAGAATATTCATACCGAAACATTTAATGATCCAATTGGCACCAACACCACGCGTTTTTATGTCGCTAAACAGGAAAATAATTGCATTTTGAAATTGAACTGTATTTACTTATTTTATCATATGAAAATTAGAGGCGGACTAGTTTCCGTTGGAGGTTTTGTTCATTTTGCTTAAAATACAGGAAGGGGTTTCGCAGTAGCATTAATTCGGCGTCATGCTGTGTGGTAAACGAATAGAGAAAAACTCTATGGTCATATATTTAAAATATTCTTAATTGTTTTACATACAATATAATGTCATTCGAAAGTATTTAATTTAACTTGTATTTCGTAACTTTTACTCATACCCCTTTATTTCGACATAGTAGCTTCCATAAAAATGCCCCGGACTGCTTTCTTGGGGTGGATTACGTACTTTTGATTGACTATTGAACTGTCCAATCAGAAAAAACTTTAAGCTTAGCAACAGCAAAGTTGTCCTCTTGTCCAATCAACAAAGAGAGGAGTGGGCTTTCTCGTGCTCAAGATTCTATCGTTTGATTGGTTAAATTGCCTGTCAGTTATGATAGATTTGTGGACTTTGTAGTTTTAAATAGAGGTCTCCGCCAGTGCTTCACTGAAATCAAAACAACATGTCCCATAATCCACCAGGAGTTACAACCAGCAGCATGCGCACGGCAAGAGGCGGAGCTGCTATATAAACACGAGCTCCCTCTTCTTGAGTAGCACACTGGACACTGTTGTGAAGGCGGAACACGGTCTCCGGGTGAACTGCAGCTCTGACAGCATCGAAACAGTTAATGGTAGTTAGCGACAGTTGCTCTGACAAATCCTTGAAGGAGTAACAAGTGTTTACTGTTTGGAAGTTTACTTTTACTTTACGAGAGTTTGTTTTTAAACTTCAACACTCAAACTTTCTTTAGTGACTTCGGCTCATTCTGAAATAAGTATATTTTCGTCCATATTTAGGTTTAACGTCTTTTTACGAACTTCGTAGCTCAGTTTCGAGAGCAGAAACATCACCTAAAAATGCGCTAAAGCGGAGCCATCAGAGCAGATCACCATGATGACAGAGCCAGCGGAGCAGACCCATCACCTGAAAACTTCAGGCAGCCCATCAGGTGGGAGCAGCGGAGACGCTTTGGAGCATCTCCCAGCCAGCAACCGTGGTGGACCGGTGAACGGCGACAGGGGGCGACAGAGAGAGCAGAAGCGGCGGCAGCAGCGGGCGGAGAACTGTGGGGATAACAACACAGACAAGTTATGGCAAATGAAAGGCGGTCAGAGGGAGGTGTTCCCTGCCTTAGCAGCCGGAAACGAGCTCCTAAAGTGCCCGACTGCAGCTGAATCTCACCAGAACCCCCAAATTCATGCAGCGGGTGGCGGTAATCTCACCACACTGGGGAAAACCGGCGAAGAGACTTTGAACCAGGTGCAAGAGGAGAGTTTGCACATTGACTCCGACACTGGCTTAGACGCGCGTCTGGGTAAAAAGAGGCATAGGCGCAGGACCTCCAAGAAGAAGCGCAACTGGAAGCCTTATTACAAACTTTCCTGGGAGGAGAGGAAAGCCCTGGAGGAGAGAGAGACGGCCAGGGCTTCCCGATTGAGAGAGGAGATGTTCGCCAAAGGGCTCCCAGTGGCCCCCTATAACACCACACAGTTCCTGATGGACGAGCATGACCGGGAGGAGCCCGACCTGAACACCGAGACCGGGGTCAGGCGGCCCTCGGGGGTAGGCGGTCGCATGGAGGACACTGGCAGCGAGGAGGACCTCTTCGACAATGAAGAGGAGGACGATGATGACGGCAGCGGCGGAGGCAGCGATGGTATCGGGAGGCCCGGGAACGCAGGTGGGGAGTTTCTCCAGAGAGACTTTTCCGAGACCTACGAGATGTATCACGTAGAGAGCCTGCAGAATATGACCAAGCAGGAGCTGGTGCAGGAGTACCTGGAGCTGGAGAAGTGTATGTCCCGGCTGGAGGAGGAGAACAACCGGCTGAGGCGCGCCGTGGAGCCTGGGGGTCTGACCGTGGAGAGCTCCCTGGTCCGGCTCAGAGAGCTGGAGAGGGAACTGGAGAGACTGAGGGCCCAAAACACGGAGCTCCTTCTGCAGAGCCAGCCGAGCAAGGACAGGGCCCAGGTCGCTACAAACTAGAGGACACTAGTCAAGTTGGGAAAACCCCCTTTGAAAGAGGTAAAAACATGGGACTACTGCATTTTTTTAAAAATGTCATAATTTTTCTGTAACCGGTTTGTCATCTGGACGATGAAGTCCTTGCATTGCAATGCAATACTTGACGTTTCTTTTCTATTTGGACTGTAAGGTTGTCCTGTTCAATTTTTTTCCAAGAAGAAATGTAAATATTTCAAAATAAGATTCTTTTTATAAAGAGAATGTATTTGACAAAACAAGAATATTTTGTTTCCCTGGTCAACTTCGTATGTGTCCATTTAAATAATACTGTTTAATTTTTGAATTTAAAAACAAACATTGTATGTTGCACCCCCTCCCCGCCCCCGAAGAAACAAACCAACAAACCAACAAACAAACAGAACTGAATAACAAATTGCCGTTAATTGGGGCAGCTTGCAAAGACTGTTTTGCAGAAGTAAATTCCAGAGTGAACATTTTAACAGTTGTGTGTTAACATAAGTTCAAATAAAATTTTGAAATTCTGATTTAATCTGTCATGTGTGGTAAAGCCTGCTCTAAAACACAGGAAGCGGTTCATAGACGCAGTAGAGTGAAGCTACTGTACGTAGCTTTTGTGAGCATGCAAATAATCACAAAGCTTTTCTTGTGAGGATCCTGAAATGGGCCAGACAGAAGACATCAGTGGGCTCTGAATAGGAGCAATACAGACTGTAGCCACAGCATAAGGGGGGGATGGGATATGATGGAGATGCTCTTTATGAAGGTTAGCCCACTCTGAGTTAAATCTGTTCAGGATATTATGCAAGGAGAAATGCAAACTGGGTTTATTCCCCTATTTAGACATTTTTTGCACAATCAGAGAAGGGCTGGTCATGTCAGAAGCTAAAGAGTCTGCTGCAAATGGTGTTCACTAAAGCTCTATATTTAGTCAGAATGATGATAAATTCAATATAATCTGTGTTACTGCCAGTTTTCACAGAACGCATGAATATTAAATTATTCAAGTAAGTTCAAATGCAGAGCCTCAGTAGTTCAGATGAAGTTTCCTTCATGCACAGAGACAATCTGTGCTAGAGGGCCTGGAGAGACCTCATTCACCTGCAGCCTGTAGAGGGCATCATTCAGCTCCTATTCTAAGTTGTGTGTGCTGCAAAACGTGAGCCTCATCTTCCCAGTAAAAAAATGGTTCTTGCAAAAATCTCAAAAAACAAACACACATGCAAATATATATTTTTTAAACATAATTCTGTTTATTTACATCATATAACCTTGCTTTAAAGCACACAGCCATGAGGGAAATGGTTTCAGGCGGACAAGTCTTTTAAGTCCAGTCATTTTCATATTAGTTATACTCAAAAGCAATTCCAAATGTACACAATACAGTATGTTACATATTAAGAGAGTATGTACAAAAAGACTTTAAAATACAACAATGAAACATTAGGTAAATCACATTTCAGACAACACACACCAACTGTTGAGTTTTCCTTCTGATGAAGTCGTGGGCTGTTGGTTCATTTTGAGGAAATGGGATGTTGTCTGGCATGACCTAATGCGATTTTAGGGTAGGGCTTGTTAGGTGTACCATATTCACACACTGTGGATCACTAGGCAAAGAGAGATGGCCTCAGTTTGTTAAGAAAAAAGCAGCTGAGAGAATACTATGCCTCTTCCCTCTTAGCAGCATCAGTAACAGCTGTTAATGCCTGTTTTAAAGGCAAAGAGAGTGCATAGACATGTCCTTGGCTTGAAGTGTGCTTCTTTTTATTAATTTTTTTTACAGCCTCTCAGTTAGACCGCTTGTATTGAATGTACACATCTTTGGGTCAGTGCCTTAGTTATACCATCAACCACAGGAGAAGGAGGGAGGAGACCCAGAAACAACAAAAGGAAACAGAAAGATAAGAACCGAGCATGGCACTGCAGAACAAAAACACATTCCAGAAATCAGGCACTTGTAGAAAAACTCTTGAGGTAAGACAAGACTAGAACTTATCATTTATTATTATTATCATCATTATTTTTCACAGGGGTTTTTTTTTTTTTGGTCAGATGAAAACAAGCGAGTCTCATGACTTGAGGGAAGTTGCACCTCCTGTTTGTTATTTTCTGTTAGCAAATTGGCTCCACGGTAAGAACGAGAGATAAAAACAATAGATTGTTAGCGGGTATTCTGTATTCATTTCCTATAATGTACCATTTCCCCCTGTCAGGGAGGATTTATTAGAGCCTGACTTTATGGAAAACTCCTGGTCACGTAACCTCAAGGTAATAAATATGCAGACAGATGAGCCCTCAGAGGGGGTGCGAGAAAAACACGTGATCGCCCAAAGTGAAAATGTAGCCGTTTGTATGCACAACACCGTATTTTTACTGTATTTTAAACACTTTCAGGCTTCTCCTCTGTCTTTTATTACAAGAGGGGACATACTTCATCTTGAGCTCAGTAAATATGAGCAGATCTGTGAAGGCATTGCTCAGTAATCCCAGACATGAATAAGAAAACAAATGATGAGGTCAGCGATCACAGTGTGGTGCTGAGCTGCCTGCAAACTGTCCAATATAATGTAATAATTACCAAATTACTTTTTTTTTTTTTTTTAAATCTTGCTACATGTTGATGCAACATTACTGAATGTATAGTAACCAGATAAACTTATTTATAACAAAATCTCATGAGATAACTTTTTTTTTTTCTGCACAGTGCTGAGAATCAGAGAGAAAGGCCATCTATGAGGAAATAAGGAACAGGGTTAGTCATGTTTATCTCGTCTCCTTTGAACAGGTACACCCAAGAGGTGAAATCACAATAAAAGTACTTTTTTACTTTAATACAAAATATATATAATATATATAATATATATATATATTGAGAGAGAGAATATAAAACAAAAAAGAATATATTAAGGGAAACATTTCAAGTAACATCTTGAAGGAAATGACTGTGCACTTGTACGCACTTTTTGTAAACCATAAAAAAGAACTAAAAAAGTAAAAACAAATATGATAACATAATATTTATATTTACAAGGTTAACTTAACAAGGCTTTGTACAAATGTTACAAAATTGTTCAACACAAAACACCTGCACGCTCGGACATTATCACGAATATTGTTGCGCAAAAAACACATTAACAGTATTAACAAGTAGAGAGAGAGAGACGACTGTATTGTGTGTCTGTGATCCTAATGTGTCTGATGTCTGGAGTATAAATGAGTCTTACAGTGTCTGTGGTCTGAGGATTAGGAAGACTGATGAAAAATCAGTTGAGATCCCTCTTGAAATGGTTTCAACCTGACTATTAGATTTTCTGTCTCCTCTGGCTCACTGAAGTAGGTTTGGAGAAATTGAATTCCACTTTGTTAAGAAGCACCATTCTCTGAAGAACCAGAGGAAGGCTGCATGTCGGCCTCCTCCTCCGGTCACTTAAAGGGATTTAACCCTTTGACTTAAGTCGTCTGTGAGCCAGGCCGGAAGAGAGAGAAGACGGAAAGGATGCTCGGGTTATTATTCGAATGAGAATTCTTGGCTGTAACATTGATTGTGATGAGGTCTGTTTGTGTCTCTGTCCTGTTCCTGTATTATTTCTATAAAAGCACACATATAGGAAAAAGAAAAAACAAAAGCTTTGGCAACACTGGAATGCCCCTTGCCATGCAAACGGAGCTCATCAAAAATAAAAGGGTGGGCTGCTCTTAAAGACCTGTTCATTGGTACCCTGTGTTGCACCTGGCAACTAACCACAACCCTGTTTACGCTGCTGCCAGTCAACTCTGCAGGGGGTCAGCAGCTTGGCCAGACCCCCCCCCAGAGTCAGCAGGTTCAGCCTCTTTGTGGAGGTTGGGGTCAGCTGGCAGGCCTCACAGGTACTGGTGGAATCTAGAGGTGGGTGCTTGACGTGTGGCCGGTCCTTGTTCGAGGCCATCTGCATCCCGAGGCAGCCCTGGTGTTTTGACCTGGTTCTGTTTGAAAGGAGACAAGGGGAACTCGTTGACAGTCAGTGGGGGTCTCTTTTCGGACGTCTCAGTCGGGGAGGCCACCACGGTGTGTCTGCGCCAGGCCCGCCTCTTCCTTCGCGTCTCAGGCGACAGCGGTTTTCGCAACCCAACGCTCCGCAGGTCGTCGGCCGAGCCCAGCAGTCGAGCGCGAACCTGCTCAGCCAGAGACCTGCCGCCCGGGCCGGTCGGGGTGAAGGAGGCGGCCTCGCTGGGTGGCAGAGCGGGTTTGGGCCGTGCCAGGCGCAGGCTCTCCTGGCTGCTGCCTGAGGAGGGGTTGGTTCTGGAGGTCTCCCTCCTCACCCTGGGCGCGCCGTCTGACCCAGAGCCAGCCTCGTCACCCTGAGCTGTGGTCCCAGGCAGCTCCAACAGGTCCAGGGAGCGAGCCTTGGTCTTCTCTGACTTCAGCTTCTTCCTGGCCAGAGTGTCACACTGGATCAGCTTGTGGGAGTTGAAGGAAGGCCGTGAGTGCAGTCTGTGAGTGGTGGAGGAGGAGGAGAAGGAGGAGGACGAGGGCGTGGTGGAGCGCGCTCCTCCTTCACTCCTCTCTGCAGAGTCTGGTGTGTGTGTGAGGGGTGTGGGCGGGGCGAGCAGGTTTGTGGGTGAGAGAACTGGGGGTTTGTAGTGTGTGTAGAGGAAGCTGCGCGGGGCTGCTGGCGGCTGTGTGTTCACGGGGGTAGTTGGGTGTTTGTTGGGTCTCTCCTGGGTGAGGGAGCGCGAGGCGAAGCCGCTCTCATTGTCCGTCTCGCTCACCAGCTCGCTGTGCTCGTCATCGGCGTCGTCCCCCCTCCCCTCTGACCCCAGGCTGCGCCCTAACGTGGAGAGGGTGGAGTAACCAGAAACGATAGAGCGCGCATCCTCTGGGGCCCGCCACGGTGGCCCCTTCACCTCCGCCCGAGCCTCCTCCTCCTGCAGCAACATCGCTGCCTGCCTTCCTCCTGCCTCCTCTTCCTCTTTACAGCACGGCCGACTGGGAATAACCGCCACTGCCTCCTCTTCTACCTCTTCTTTCGCTCCGCTTTCTACAACTTCCTCATCTTCCTCTTCTTCTTCTTCTTCCTCTTCATCGTCATCCTCCTCTCCCTCCGCTCGAGGAGCAGTGTCTCCTACAGGTGACTCTGCCTCCTCTTCCTCCTCTGCCCCTAGATGTCCGGCTTTGATTGGCTCGTGCTCTGAGTCGTCGTCAGTGCTGCTGCCCACGCGGCGGGCGTTGTGGCGCTTTCTGCGTTTGCGGCCCGTCACAGCTGACATGATGGACAGAGTCAGGAAGTCCTTGGCTGTGAGGTCCTTCTTTGACCCCCACGACCCCTGGAAAAGGAAGAAATGTTACTGTGACGCTGTCATACATGGACGATGTATTTCCTGTGTTATTTTACAACTGTGTGTGTGTGTGTGAGCTGCACTCGAACAACCGGAGCAGCCTTGTACCATGTACGGAGACGTTACCTTTGATTTAGCCGAGTCACTGTTGGTTGAGTCTGGGGAAAAAGA